AAAAAAAAAAAAAAAAAAAAAAAAAAGAGAAGCAAAGCATTATAGGAGGATTGTTTGCATTTAAGTAAAAGCAGTATCTGTAATTTTTGGCTGACTGCTCCAAGTACCATGTATCTCCTCCATCAATGCTTTGAGTATATTCCTCTATAAATGCATGTTAACTTAACAGTAATAATAAAGCAAAAATAACTATACAAAAATGAGTCCACCACTACCAAAATGGTACCAAGTTCACAAATAATTAATCTACACCCAAATTTCCAACCATCATGATTTTTAGAATTGCAGTAAGGCTTCCCTTCATAGATTTATTGAAAATGTTTTGTACTCCTACAAGTTCACCCTCCCTTCCTATAAAGAGTGAAGTTCAGTTTGAATTGATTGGTGGATAATTTTTCCATTTTTCCTCAGGCAATGTGAGTTACTCCTATAAATCAAATATAGGCCAGAGGAAATAATGTCTCAGATGGGCAGTGACTGACCAGGAGAAGTTCTCCTTCTCAGCAGGAGAAGTTGCTTATGCCTTGTTTGGTACATTGTGAAAAAACACAATTAAATAAATACACAGTCATGCCTGAGTACCCATCCTCCACCCTGCCATCCTCCAGTATGGCAAAAATCTGGTCAGAGTCCATTTTGGGTATCATTCCACGGTTCCTTGGATCCCAAAGCTTTCAGAGTGCTGGCTGGTCAGGGAGCGTACAGTCAATCCTTGGTGGCAAATGTCCCAATTTTTTAAGTACCAGCGAGTCCTTCTCCAGGGTTGCAGGGCCACAGTCTCCACGAATGAAGATAACTTTTCTTAGCTGCCCTGTGACAACTGGGTTTCACATTTCCTGAAACTAGATCTGTGGAAAGAGTCCCTGAAATTAAGAGAAGAGGGAAGAGAGGGAAAGAGAGCATACAGAAGTAAGAAACATCAACTGGCCTTTTAGAAAGGGTTAGGGGTGGATTACCTGGTAGAAATGGATATCAGTCACAGAGAACTCAGCAAATAATAACTGAAAGGTCTGTGACCCCTTCACACTGTGCCAAAACAAACACAGAAACCAATCAAACTAACAAAAAACCCAACACAGGCCGTAATTCAGCCCTGAGAAGACCGCTGGCACAAGACCAACACCAAAGTGTCTGGGAGAGGTCAAGGAGCAGGGATGGGGAGGACGGGAGCAGAATGGATCACACCCTGGCAGCCTCTGATTCCAGGCCCCATGCCCTCCCTTCGCTGGTGCTGTAGCTCCTCTAGTGCAGCAGACCATGCCCTGAGGTGCTGGGTCCCATGCGCTGCCCTTTAACCCCCAGGAAGAGGCCTTTTCTGCTCTGTTCTTACCTCTTTTGACTCTCAACTCTGAATATTGGCTTGTAGAGTTCTGGGATTTTCCGCTCGATCATTGGTCTGAGGTTCTCTTTTAGCTTGTTATAGTTCTTTTTGAGTTCCTGCTGATACTCCCTCTGGTCTGGTGTGATGAGACGCTTGTTTTTCTCTACGGCTTCACCACATCTGAGATGAAAATATCAATGTGGGATAAATAAATGACTTTGAAATGCTTAGAAATCTGAGAACAATGAAACTACTTATGATTTTTTGAATAACTTTAAGAGCATTTTCAAACTGGGTAGCATACCAGGATTACCTGCGGAGCTTTTCAAAACGCAGATTTCTAGGATCTATCTCAGACTTAATGAATCACAACTGCTGAGGGGTAGCACCCAGAAATCTCTGTGTTTTACTTTATTTTACCATTATTTTTTAAGACAGGGGCTCACTCTGTCACCCAGGCTGGAGTGCAGTGGTGTGATCACAGCTCCTGGCAAACTTCGACCTCCTGGGCTCCAGCAATCCTCCTACCTCAGCCTCCTGAGTAGCTGGGACTACAAGTGCGGGCCATCGCTTCTGGCCCAGAAATGTCAAATTTTGAAAAGCTGCCCAGGGGATACTGAGGCCAACCTAGCCAGAATTGAGAACCTCTGACTTGCTATGTGCCAGAAGAAGTTTCAGTAAGTTTTACATGCATTATCTAATTTTCCCAACAACCCTAAAAAATCAGCTTTTATCTTTATTTTGTTCCTGAAACTAAGAAATGTTACGATGCTTGCCCAAGATAACACTGTAAGGAAGTGGTAGATCTTAGAATCAAACTCAGGAATGGAAGCTGTTCTACTTACAAAAAGCTCACTGTGATTTACGGCAACATGGCATCAGAGCAGGTGCCATTCAGCCCCCTCCTGCTACACACATATGGAAGTGCTAGGAAAGCACAACAAAAACTTGTTGAAACAGAAAGGGGAACACCAGGTGCCAGAAAGAAAGAGAAAAATAAAAGCTAGAGTGATTGCAGGAGCTGGTGGCAAGGCGGCTGTGACTAGGACTGGCCCATGAAGATTTTAGGACTGCATATAGTTCTATGGGATGGGTGGAAGGGGTTTCAAAGCTCACACAAGATTAGTGATGTGACCCTGGCCAGGGCAAAGGGAGATTCTGGATATGCTATCTGCATATGGTCCAGAGCCTTGAAAAGCTACCCCATCTATGAAAGAGGGTTTAGAAAAATGCTGCAAGCTGTCCAGAGTATCAGAATGGAAACTTGCTATCAGCTTAGGGCCATTCATGAGAAAGAAAGTCATCTTGAGAAATGGAAATTCTAGGCTTGCACCACATATGGTGTAAGTTACAAATGTACATTTCTTGACTGTATGTGCTTCAATGTAAGAAAATAAAAGTTAATCCAAGATTACTGAAATTGCTAGGGCTCAGACAAACCAACATAAAGTTGCTCTGGAGGAACACATTCTCAATCAGGACATAGGGGCCACTCCCGCCAAAGATGAGCTCACAATAAAAAGTTACAAACCGTGTGAGGAAATCAGCTACCATGAGAGAAAACTAACAGATGCATCAAACAAAATAATTAGTCCAGTAAGAATTAGAGATAATAGAACAATGCAAAACCAAAGTTAACACAGAGAGGTAATAAAATGTATAAAATCCTAACTAGAAAAAAAAGAAGAAAAAACCATGTGACTAGAGAAAAAAGAAGAAAATAAATAAAAGGTACAAAATCCATGATAAAATCAAGAATATGAAAAAAGAGACCAGGAAAGGTTCAGAAAAAAGCAAATAGGACTTCTAGAAAAAAAAATGCAGTAACTAGGCTAGGCGTGGTGGCTCATGCCTGTAATCCCAACAGTTTGGGAAGCTGAGGTGGGTGGATTGCCTGAACTCACGAGTTAAAGACCAGCCTGGGCAACTTGGCAAAACCCTACCTCTACAAAAAATATAACAATTATCTGGGTATGGTGGTGCGTGCCTGCAGTCCCAGGTACTTGGGAGGCTGAGGTGGGAGATGGCTTGAGCCTGGGAGGTAGAGGCTGCGGTGACCAAGATTGCACCACCGCACTCCAGCCTGGGTGACAGAACCAGACCTTGACACACACACACACACACACACACACACACACACACATACACACACGCACACAGAACTGTTAAAAGACAAAAACCTCAATGGAAAGGTTAAATAATAGACTAGACATAACTGGATAATTAAATGTATGACGAATCCAAGGAAATCACCAATGAGATTTAAAAAATAAAAAATATGAAAAAATTGGTTAAGAGACATGGAGATATAAGATCCAACCCACATCTAATAGAATCTCCGACAGAATGGAAAGTGAGAGGGAGGCAATATTTAAAGATATAATAGTTGATAATTTTCCAGAGTTGAAAAGAGATATAAACTCTCTAATGAACAACAACAGATCTATACCCAGCCTCTTCATGGCAAAACTGCATAGCATTAAAGTCAAAGAGAAAATCTTAAAAACTCATCCTGGTTATCCGACTTGTGGACTGTTAAACCAAGGTCTCCTACACAGTATGGTACACCCCAAAGAAGACAGTCAAGTTATTTAAAGATGATAAAGTCTTGCCTTTTGTTTTATACTCTTCTACCCTAGGGAACTTACAAATTGACAAACCTTAAAGGGACAGAGTAATGGCTGTAAGTTACCTAACATGCAATAGTTAGTAATAATTATATTATCCTTCAAATAAATAAGATCTGGGTGATCATGTGCCTTATATTATTTTCCTAATAGTGGTATTAGACTTGGGGTAAGTTATGGAGATACCGAGACATTGTTATCAAATCCTCTTAACACTGAACACATTTCCAGGATGACAATGAGGAAGAGGATGGCATGTGGCAAGGAAAAGCTACCTGGCTAGGCGAAAATAAACCTACAACCACAGCTTCATCATGGAATTAATCTGCTGGAGAAGAAGGACCTGCTTGATTTAACTTACACAGAATCCAAAAGAACTCCCTTAACCAGATTTTCGCCTACATTTTAAGTTTGGCATTAGTTGAAGCAAATTATAGGATACCTAAGGTTACATATTAAAGGTTTTAGGAGAGAACTAGAAGGGAAGGTGTATGGCCTTTGAATCCTGAGAAATCTATGTCACCCCTTTTTATTGCTTCTTAACTAACAGTTACAAGTAACACCATGTGTAAAATAAAATTAGTTGCAGGATGACTTCAAGGCCCAAGTTTATAACATTGGCAGACTATAGGAGGTGGGATGAGGCCTGCCAAAGCTAACAGCTAATTTGGGGAAGTCTACTCTGACATCTTTGGTATAATTAACTAAACTCTCCTTAGTCCTTGTTTGCAGAAGTAGTGCTAGCTAGCTAACACATCCTGATTGTTTACCACGCGCCCTTGAGTGAGTTAAATGCTTTATATGCAGACAGAACTGTGTTGAAACCAGCACTACTCATTAGCAGGATGACTTAACCATAAAAATCTTCAATTTTCTCATCTGGAAAATGGGGATAATAAGCTCATATAATCTCCCAGGATTGTTGAGAGAATTAAAGGAGAGGCTGTGATAATAAGGCAGACTGATGCTTCTGGAGGCTGGCAGATTGTATTTTCTAAAAAATGGCCATAAGAATGTGCTCTCCTAGAACCTTGCCCATACCCCCATCAAGAGTTGGGTGGTTCTTTGTGGCAGCCACAATGAACAGAATGTGGTGGAGGTGGTACTGTGTGCCTGGCTAATAAAAGGTAATATGGCCTCTGTCTCTCTCTCTCTCTCTACTATGAGAGTCCTGAACCATCCTGTGACAAGTCTAGCTACCCTAAAGCTGTCATGCAGGAGAGCCATGTGGAGAGAAGGAGAATTAGAGAGAGGAGGCGCCCCTGCTGTTTGAATATTCTCAGCCCAGACACCAGACATGTATGAGGAAGCCTTTGGGTAATTCCAGTCCTAGCCACTGTCTAAGTGCAACTGAGTGAGAGGCTCCAAGCAAAAACCACCAAGCTGAGCCCAGCCAACCCCAAGTTATAGCACAACCATTATCGTGGCCACAATACAGCTGCTAGGGCCCCAGCCATGATGGCCATATCCTAGGCAAATATCAGGAGTAGAAATGAGGAAAGCAAAAGTTATTACGTACCACATGCATAATAATTAAATGTTGTTTTAAGCCATAAAATTTTGAGGTCATTAGTTACATAGCAATAAATAACTGTGGTGTTTTATAAAGACAAATATATTAATAGCTGGAGCAAAAAATAGGTTTATATAGTAATATCACTTTATATCTTTAAACTTTCATAATGCATAAAATTATTTTATATACTTTTCCTATATTTCTTCCTTTCAGTCATTTGGGTTATATTCTCTAGGTTATTTGATTAAAATTGAAATAATTTCTACTATGTTAATTTAAATCCATAAGCTAAGGAGGGCCATGTGCTAACATCCCTCCTAGAGAATAGCCATATCTCTTGGAAAATGTATACAAAATCGTAAACAACTTTTTAAAAATGATCTTATCTGTAACATGCTCTTAGGTCCACAAACATCTGAGCTGTGTTGCTCTCAGCGATACAACCATTCCAGACTTCCCTTACATCCTCTCATGCTCCCTTTGTTGGTAAACTCCCTGAACACAAGTATTTTCTTAGAACAAATATGCCTGGAGTTTTCTGGCAGTCACAGTCCTACAGAAACCAGATTGATAGGGATAAGAAAGGGGAGGAAGTTGTACCTCCAGAAAAGGATTCCTGGCTTTTGATGACAGTAACATTTTGAGGTCTCCATGTATAGAGTTAAGATCTCCTGGAGAGAGTGGTCATGTAGCCCTCATCCTCCCTGCATCTCTTGGTGCCCCAGTGCCCCCTTTTTTTGAGACAGGATCTTGCTCTGTTGCCCGGGGTGGAGTGCAGTGTAATGATCTTAGCTCACTGCAACCTGTGCCTTGTGGACTCAAGTGATCCTCCCACTCCAGCCTCCCGAGCAGCTGGAGATACAGGCACACCATTATGCCTGGCTAATTTTTTGGTATTTTTTGCAGAGACGAGGTTTTGCCATGTTGCCCAGGCTGGTCTTGAACTTGTGAGCTCAAGTGATCTGCCCACCTCAGCCTCCCTAAGTGCTAGGATTACAGGCGTAGCCATTGCACCCATCCTAGTCCCCCTCATTTCAGCACAGCCCACACATTGGTTCCTGAGTGTGGCAAAAAAAATTTATTAGTTGTTTTCTCAATATCCACTCTTTCTTCCCTACTAGCAGAACTTCGGGCAGTGTGGCCACCTGGAAACTTACATTTCCTAGCCACCCATGCAGGTAGGGATGGCTGATAAGACAGGAAAAGTCACTGGGAAACGGACATACCTTTTTGCTCTTTCCTCATACTTGCCCAGATGTGGTCATGATGGCTGGATCCCTAGCAACCATATCATGACCATGAGAATGGGTACACTATAACCAGGATGGCACAGCAAAGAAATGGAAAAGAACCAAGGTCTCTGATGACTTTATAAGTCCACCACATAGCTCTGCATCAACTACCTCCAATCTTATTTAGTGTGAGAGAAAAATACATTTCTTTTCTTTTCTTTCTTTCTTTTTATTTTTTGAAACGGAGTCTTGCTCTGTAGCCCAGGCTGGAATGCAGTGGCATGATCTCGGTTCACTGCAACCTCTGCCTCCTGGGTCCCAGTTCAAGCAATTTCTCCGGCCTCAGCCTCCCAAGTAGCTAGGATTAAAGGCACATACCACCATGCACAGCTAATTTTTGTATTTTTAGTAGAGATGGGGTTTTACCATGTTGGCCAGCCTGGTTTTGAACACCTGACCTGTGATCCACAGCCTCCCAAGGTGCTGGGATTACAGGCGTGAGCCACCATGCCCAGATGAAAAATACATTTTTTTTATTTAAGCTACTCTTACTTGTATTCTGTTACTAGCAACTAAATATAGTTACCAGAGGGAACAGCTCAGCACAGCAATTAAGAGAATGGACTCTGGGGCCAGGGTGCTCAACTCTGAATCCTGCTTTGCTGCTTACTGACTTTGCAACCTTAAACAAGTTACTTAACCTCTCCATGTCATAATGTCATAGTTTCTTCATCTGTGATGTGAGGGTGATAACAGCCTACCTCATAAATTAATGTAAAGATTAAACGAGTTGAAACATACCAAATGTTCAGAACAGTCCCTGTACATAGCTAAAGCCAGAGCACATGGTGGTGTTATTATGCCCAATAGACACGGTCTAAGTACATGAACTATTTGTACCATATGAGAATGATGGACTATTAGAGATGCTGTATTCTAGTCCCTTTATTTCTTTTCCTTCTTTCTTTCTTTCTTTCTTTTTTTTTTTTTTTTTTTTTTTTTTTTCTTTTCTCTGTAGCCCAGGCTGGAGTGCAGTGGCACAATATTGGCTCACAGCAGCCTCTGCCTCCCGGGTTCCAGTTCAAGTGATTCTCCTGCCTCAGCCTCCTGAGTAGCCGGGATTACAGGTGCACACCACCACGTCCAGCTAATTTTTGTATTTTTAGTAGAGGCAGGGTTTCACTATGTTGGCCAGGCTTGGTCTCGAACTCCTGACCTTGTGATCCACCTGTCTCTGCCTCCCAAAGTGCTGGGATTACAGGCGTGAGCCACTGTGCCTGGCCCCCTTTATTTCATAGTTGAAGAAACGAACATGCAAAGAGGTGAAGTGTCCTGTCCAGTCACATGCCTGTGGGACAGCACAGCTGGATATGAACCCAGAATCCTGCTGCCCCCAGGCCAATGTCTCCTCAGCCCCACTGTGTCTTTCAAACTTTATAGAGACAGACAAATCATGGATAGACAATCTCTATATTTAAGTCAGATTAATTCTCTATTTCCCATTCAAATCCATCAGTTCCCTATTTGCCCCACTGAATGTCACACTTACTGATCACTTAGTATGTCCAAAGTCTTATTCTAAGTTCCATGTATTAACTCATTTTATTCTGACACTAATTGCAAGAGGTAGTTACAATTATTATTCCCATTTTCTGTCTGGGGAAACCGAGGGTGGGTAACTTACTCAAGGTCATACATCTAGTTAAGGCAGAATGGAATCTGAACTCAGGCAATCTGGTTTGAGTGCCCATATTCCTAACCCCAACGCCACATATACTGCCTAGGAAAGCCATTGCCCCATTTTCAGCAATAAGACAGGCACATGGCCTTGGTCTCAAGTTAAAACTACTGTTTCTGTTTCCACCTACACTCGACACATTTGGTTGCCCTTTGGTGACTCAGACAAATTCCTTCTCCTTCCTCTCCATAGACTCCCAACTCCCATTTAAAAACACCACCACGCAACACCCTGTTTTCTGACCCTATGCCCACATATATGCTGCAGAACCCTTTCAGGTGTATCTGAAACGACTTCTCTTGAAGGCAAGCTGTAACTTGTGCCAATGAGTTCCACTATCTTTTATTTAAATACAAAAACAAATCTAACATCACTTAGTCTTTACAGGAATAAGAAAGTCCAGATAAGTATAAAGAAGAAAATTAGAAAACCTAAATGGTCAGGGTGTTCGGGGGAGCAGAAGAGGGGACAGAACATTGTATCTCTCTGTCTTGGCTTTTGAACTCCTGAGGTGTTTTTTATGATTGCAGGAAAAGACAGAAGCAGATTGAGGTCCCAGCTTGGTAACAGTTTGAGGAGTTGCAGGACTGGCTGCATCAAGTCAGGCTGCCAGGATTCTCTTTATGTCTATTTCTGCTTCCACTATAGCTGAGTCAGAAGGGTCGCTGCCCAGTGGTGGCACTAGACGCAGTGGGCCTGGCAAGCAAACGTTTCTGCTATTAGTTCTCAGCAACAGAAGGCTCACTTAATGGTCACCTTGGAAATCTGGGCTTATCGATCTACAGCCCAAGTCTGCTGAGAATCTGGAGCTTACTAAAGGGGAAACCTGAGAGCTGTTCAAGCCCCAAACATTTTCCACTTCTGCATCCCTTCTGCTGTCTGTAAGCAGCGTGGAGGAGAAAACACACCAGTGCAAACAACGTGAAAAAATAGTTAGTCTATTTATTAAAAGCTGTAACTTTCAGATTGGACTTGAGGAGCAATTAGGCAACAGAGGACCCTTCATCTACCTGTATTGAGGGTATGATTTACATACCATACTATTCACCCACTTTACGTGTAGAGTTTGATGAGTTTTAGTAAATTGATACAGTTGTGCGGCCATCAGCACACTGTCACTGACGACTTCTGATCTCTGTGGAATAAAGAGGAGGGCAGGTCAACTGCTGTGTTTGCACACAGACATGAAGTCATGAGCAGCAGGACTGTTTGGCCTGTAGCTTTGTCCCACTGGTATTGGGACCTCATCCTTCCACATATGTAGCACAGTGCCTGGGACAAAGTAGGAGCTCAATAATTGCTGAATGAATGGATGAACTGATGTCTATAGTTGCTTCAAGGTGTAGTAGTTTGAGCACATTTGCTTTTTTGAAGGGAGGAAGCAGAAGGCAAAAGGGGGTGAATGATGATAAGGATGGTCTGAGAGATTAAGCCCTCAGTGAGGGAGGGAAAAGTCATAGGGAGAAAATGTGAAAGGAGGCAATTAAGCAATCTTTGCAGCCCCTCCACTCAAAGTTTGGTCCAGTGTAGCAGCAAGAGCAGCAGCGACAGCATCACCTGGGAGCTTGTTAGAAATGCATTGCTTCAGGACCCACGCCAGACCTACTGACTCAGAATCTGCATTATTTTTCTTTTTTTGAGACAGGGTCTTGCTCTGTCACCCAGGCTGGAGCGCAGCGGCACGATCAGGGCTCATCACAGCCTTGACCTCCCTGGACTCAAGCTATCCTTCCACCTCAGCCTCTTGAGTAGCTGCGACTCCAGGCATGCACCACTACCACACCTGGCTAAATTTTTGTATTTTTTAAACAGACGGAGTTTCGCCATGTTGCCCAGGCTGGTCCTGAAATCCTGGGCTCAAGCAATCCTCCCACCTCAGCCTCCCAAAGTGCTGTGGTTAGAGGCAGAGCCACCGCATCAGGCCAGAATCTGCATTTTGACAGCTCCTCAGGTGATGAGTAAGAACAGTGAAGTTTGGGAAACACTGACAGTCTCCTAGCATTCCTAGAACAACGCAGCAGTCCTGCCAGCGGGGATAAAAGTGGGACTGGTTCCCATGTGGAGTCACCGTTAAAAAGGCAGCAGAACAACATTTTAAATGGTGAATTTGATTTTGAAAATCCAACATTTCTGCAGGCCATCTGGGGAGACGACAGCATCTTTATTGAAAGTCTAATGCATGACTTTGTTAAAGGACCATCCCTAGGAAAGTCCATTTTCTCTTGTACCTCTTGCCTGGGACTACTTTTACTGGGCCCTGGTTCTTTTTGGAGTAACTTTTCCTGGGGCTGGGAGCTAATGAGAAACATATGTTTAGTAGGGATTTTGTAAGTACATTTTACCTAGGTGAAGTCATGAAAAGGATCATACCCATGAGATACAGGATTGCAAGATTTGTCACTGGTAGACAAAATTGAGGCAAAATGAATGAAAATCACTCTCTTGATAAGTTTTCTTTTTTCCTTTTTTTTTTTTTTTTGATACGGAGTGTCACTCTGTTGCCCAGGCTGGAGTGCAGTGGTGCAAACTTGGCTCACTGCAACCTCTACCTCCCAGGTTCAAGCAATTTTCCTGCCTCAGCCTCCTGAGTAGCTGAGATTACAGGCATGCACCACCATGCCCAGCTAATTTTTTGGTATTTTTAGTAGAGACGGGGTTTCATCATGTTGGCCAGGCTGGTCTCGAACTCCCAACCTCAGGTAATCCACCCAATTCAGCCCCCCAAAGTACAGGGTTACAGGTGACAAGTTTTCTTTTACATTTAAATTCTATTCAGAGCCTCATTTACTGATGTTATTGTCTTTCCAGTCTTTCCTCCTTGTCCTAGCATGCTCACGAGAGCATGCTGCTCTAGCTGGACTTAGAGGAGCCCGGTGCATCAGAGGCATTCCTGACTGAGTCTCGTGGTCCTGGCCCACTCATTGGTACCCCAGTGCCCCTTATCCCTGGGGATAGGTTCCAAGACCCCTAGGGGATGCCTGAAACTGGATGGTTTCCCTATGGTTTTTTTCCCTATACATATGTATCTATGAGAAAGCTTAATTTATAAATTAGGAACAGTAAGAGATTAACAACAGAACAATTATAGCAACATACAGAACTAAAAATTGTATGAATGTGGTCTCTCTATCTCTCAAACTATTGTAAATAATACTTTCAGACCATGGGTAACTAAAACAGCTGAAAGCGAAACCTTGGATCAGGCAGGGCCACTGTCATGGCTTCCTCTTCCCCACTAGTGCCTTTCTTCCACCTATATAGTCAGGACAAGATTTAAGTGCCAAGATTTAAGTTTCCATAATGCCTCCCCGAAACACTCCGGCCTGAAACGATTTCCCTTTTCTGATCTCCATAGTTCTTAAAGTTCTGTGTGTAAGCTGCATTGTTATTCAGCCATGCAGAGCCATAGCCTATCGTTAAGAACAGAGTAACAGTCAGATCTCTGTATTCCCATAACTAATCTCAAGCCTGGAATATAGTGAGTGCTTTTTAAACATTTCATAGGTCCTGGAGCATTGTCAATTTTGGAGGGCTTTAACCATGATTAATTTTAAATAAAAATAGATTTAAAAAAATCCAATCTCTGAGCCCAGGAGTTCAAGATCAGCCTAGGCAGCATAGTGAGACCTTCTCTCTACAAAAAATAAAAAATGGGGCTGGGGGCAGCGGCTTATGCCTATAATCCCAGCACTTTGGGAGACCAAGGTAGGTGGATCATTTGAGGTCAGGAGTTCAAGACCAACCTGGCCAACATGGTGAAACCCAATCTCTGCTAAAAATACAGAAATTACCGGTTATGGTGGTATACGTCTGTAGTTCCAGCTACTCAGGAGGCTCAGGCAGGAGAATCGGTTGAGCCTGGGAGGTAGGGATTGCAGTGAGCTGAGATCACACCACTGCACTCCAGCCTAGGCGACAGAGTGGGATCCTGTCTCAAAATAAAATAAAATAAAATAATTCTCCAAATATTTTTCTAGCCTTTTAAAAGATATGTACCATGTACTGAAAAAAATCTACTTTTTTTTTTTGTCATGTCAGAATTGTTGTCAGATACAGGAAACAATTCAAATATCAAAACATTCATCGAGATAATCTGTGAGTATGTTCATAAACATGTGCAAATACATACACACAAAGCCACACACACATCCTATTACCAAGTGGCTGGGATTCACTGCAGGGCACAGTGTGTCTCCTCTGTATGTAGCGAAGTTGTGGACCTCTCACAAAAGCCTGTGAAGGAGATCTCTCTAACCTCACAAATGCTAGCATTTTGATGTTTTCACTGAATTTAGCAAACTTTAACTTTTAGTCTCCTTTATCCCCATCTGCCAAGTGAAGAAATTCCTATACTTAATATTATTCTTTAAGGTTTGAATAAAAAGAAATATTGGTATACATTTTTCTGAAGTCCTTTTCTCTTACAGGTAAAATGCCTCATATCCTTCATACTCATTTTTTTAGGGCCATAGGAAACCCAATAGATGTGTCTGTATTGCAATAAGTTACAAGACTTTGACCAAAGACCCAGTTCCTAACCGACTGCTCTTGAAGCCAGCTCCATTGCAGAATTTAGGAGCAGAGATGAGACTTGTCTGACATGGAGAACTGTCATCAGGATAATACCTTTGAAAAGCCCAGTTTTAGAACCTGTCTCTCTCACTTTGAGGCAGTGTCCATTTTTAAGTTTCTAAAAATATTATAAGATTTGAGACATTACAATGACAGCCAATGCAAAGAACTTCTGGGACTCTAGTGCATCGGTGGAATATCAGCACATTGATGGGCATGTGGGCTATTTGTATTGAGAAGACTTGGTTTGATCTCAGCTCTGCTGCCAACTGGCTGTGTGATCTTAAAAAAAATTATGTACTGTCTTGGAACCTCTGATTCCTCTTTTGTACAATGAGGAAGATGATGATACTTCTTACAACATGATTGTGAGGCACATGGGATGCTAGACACGAAAGCATTTCACAGTTCACGTGTTACTCATGAGTATTTCAAGTGGTGATGCCCTACTGCAGTGGTTCTTAAACTTCAGTGTGCATCAGAATCACCTGGAGGGCTTGTTAAAATGCAGACTGCTGAGCCACACCTCCAGAGACTCCAATTCAGAAGTGTGCACGGTGCCTGAAACTTTATCTTTCTAGCGAGTTCTTAGGTCATGCTGAAGCTGCTGGTCTAAGACTGCAGTTTGAGAACCACTGCTCTACTGAAACTCCCAGCCATTTTCCTTCTTACCGCAGGATGAATTCCTTAAAGCATAACCTCAACTTGTTGTGATGTCGATAGAGTTTTGGATCAGCAGGAATTTCAGCCAAGAACACTTGGGCTACTTCCAGTGGTCCCTGATGGAAAAAAAAAAAAAAAAAAAGCCAATATTGATATTGGAAGGAAATTAAATTGCTTGGGAGAAAATATTGGAGTGACTTCTTAGTTTGAACATTTAATTTTGTAGTTGGTTTGAATTAAACAAAAAAAATCAAGGAAAGTCTTGGACATCTCAGGAAATTTTGATTCCTTAGGAGGAGTCTGAAGTTTTAGAAGAATATTCAGAAGTATAAATGCATTTTCTCTGTTGTTGTTGGTTTTTTGTTTTTGTTTGTTTTTGTTTTTTTTTTGAGACAGGGTTTCACTCTGTCACCTAGGCTGGAGTGCAGTGGTGTGATCTCTGCTCACTGCAGCCTCTACTTCCCAGCCTCAAGTGATCCTCCCACATCAGCCTCCTGAGTAGCTGGGACCACAGGTGTATGCTACTATATCTGGCTATTTCTGTATTTTTTTTGTGATGCAATTTTGCCACATTGCCCAGGCTTGTCTTGGACTTCTGGCCTCAAGTGATCCATCCACCTCAGCCTCCCAAACTGCTGGGATTATAGGCATGCACCACTGTACCCTGGCAAATTTATCTTCTTTTTTTATTGTTGCTGTTTTTGAGACAGAGTCTTGCTCTGTAACCCAGGCTGGAGCACAGTGGCGTGATCTCAGCTTACTGCAACCTCCTCCTCCCAGGTTCAAGCAATTCTCCTGCCTCAGCCTCCCAAGTACTGGGACTACAAGCATATGCTACTACACCTGGCTAATTTTTGTATTTTTAGTAGAGACGGGGTTTCACCATGTTGACCAGGCTAGTCTCGAACTCCTGACTTTAAGTGATCTGCCCACCTCGGCCTCCCAAAGGGCTGGGATTATAGGTGTAAGCCACTCTACATGGCCCCAAATATTATTTTATTAATCAAATACTACTAATACTAGATTTTCCTTCATATAAAAATGTAATGCAATTGCATCAAATGGTACATGCTTTGAGATGCTTTTCTAAAAATGAGATTGCCTTGATCTATCCATTTTTGTTGACTTATCTCATTGCCCTAGTGGCAAACATCGTTTTGCATAATTGCTGGCTTGAGTCAGAGATCTCCATAGCATACAGATAGACCATGGTTGTGGGCTTGTAAAGTCCATTTTATCAAAGGATTGGCACTTACAAAGGCAAAAGTTTCCTCATTTTTTTTCCTGATCTTGGAAATCTAACAGGCGTTTCTATTCTCTATTTCTGCTCCCTTGATGGCAAGTACACTCAGAATTTTTGTGGAGAAATCTAATTATGCTGAATGAGAAAAGACTTATGATGCTCACTGAGTATCTGAGCATGGAAGTGTGGACAAGAACAGATCTAGAATTGAATTAAGGAGGCCCACTGGACAGAGGTATTAGGCTAGTACCTCCATCTGAGACCGGTTGAGCACCATGCTGAACTTGGGAGTTAGGGTTCTAATAAGTCCGAGAAGATCTAGTCTTGTCTGAATGGCCTAAGAAATCTGGTCCCAGGTCACTCCTGGTTGCCAAGGTCCTTGGCATGCTGGGATCACCTGGTGACTGACCCAAGAATTGGATGTTCTAGATCCTTTTCCCTCTCTCCTATAGGCACTTGTAGGTGAGTCTCAAGCCCTGCAATGACTGTGTGAATTGGTCATGACTACGCATTCTTCAACAGGACTCCAGATTCGCATCATATTGTCAGGTCTGGCCCGAGGTGGAGACTCCTCTGAGAAAGTGGTACTCCTAAAAACCTGGGCCACTCATCTCTAGGACTTCTTTTTCACCATGAAAGGGAAAAGGCCTCCTAAAAGTCTTCTAAACCTGACAAGAGTTCAGGCTAACTGTAGGAACATCTCTGTGTTTATATGCGCATCACAGTCCTCATCCACCCCAAGAAAGGAGGGTGTAGACATATAACAACAACCCAAATAATAAGAACCAGAGGCGCTGCCACCCTCTGTTTTGCTTACCTGATTTACAGTAGCTCCTACAGAGCCTTGCAGTACCATTTGAAGCATCTTTGGATCAGGGGGCACCTGGTTAATGGCAACCGCTAACTGCAGGGTCTTTTTCTTCATGTCTTCAATGGCAACTTCAATCGGTGTCAAAACAAACTGGACATGGGACGTAAACACAGGGAAGTCACTGTCTGGTCTCATAAGCTATGGACAACCTGCAGCTATGACAGAGAGGCCACCTGGATGTGAAGAAGCAGCTAGGGAAAGACTTTCAGTCACTTAAAATACTCTTAACAGGTTTAAAAGAAGGAAGGGCCTAATATTTCTTGAATTCTTATGTTCCAGGAACTTTACATACATTTATCATTTACTCCTTCAACAACCTCTTTATACTCTCCGTTTTACAGTCAAAGGGGGATTTATAAGGTTGGGTTCCACAAAGTGCCACAGGTAGTAAGGGAGAGGTCCTAATTCCATCATAAGAATGTCTATATTCAAAGTCCATGTTTTTCCTACCCTGTCAGGTTGCCTTTCCTATTATTGAGCAAGTTACTCAACTTTATTTATTTATTTATTTATTTATTTTTGAGATGGAGTTTCACTCTTGTTGCTAGGCTGGAGTGCAATGGCATGATCTTGGCTCACTGTAACCCCCGCCTCCTGGGTTCAAGCGATTCTCCTGTCTCAGCCTCCTGAGTAGCTGAGATTACAGGTGCCACCACCATGCCCAGCTAATTTTCTATTTTTAGTAGAGACGGGGATTCTCCATGTTGGTCTGGCTAGTCTCGAACTCCCGACCTCAGGTGATCCGCATGCCTTGGCCTTTCAAAGTGCTAGGATTAGAGGTGTGAGGCACCGCTCCTGGCCTCATGTTACTCAACAGAAAGCTATATTAGAAGCACAGCACTCAAGATTTTCTCCCCCATCGTAACACATGCTTTTGATATCACCTGTGCCTTCTCCAACTCACCCTGAGGGTAAATTCCAGTAAATGGAATTCTCTTAAGGGTCAATCTATTTGCTAAGTTCTGCCGGTTTGGGGTAGAGTCTTCTCTGAAAGTTATGGGTTGCATTGTGTTCCCCCATAATTGATACGTTGAAGTCCTAACCTTCAGTACCTCAGAATGTGACATTATTTGGAGACAGGGTCTTTACAGAGGCAGTCAAGTTAAAATGAGTCCAGCCAGGTAAGCACTAGTCCACTATGGTGTCCTCATGAGAAGAGGAAATCTGGACACAAACACAGAGGGAAGATGATGTGAAGAGATACGGGGAAGAGGGCCGTCCACAGGCCAGGGAGAGAGGTCTGGAACGGACCCTTTCCTCCCAGCCCTCAGAAGGCACCAACTCTACCGGCACCTTGATTTCATACTTCTAGCCTGTAGAACTGTAGAGACAGTACATTTCAGTTGTTTAACTTAGTTCTATAGCCCTCGCGAACAGCTGAGCACCATTGTTGAGGGTGTTGGGGAACTACCGATGGCCAAGAAAAGTTCAGGCTGGGGCAGCAACTCACGCTCGTAATCCCAGGACTTTGGGAGGCCGAGGTAGGGGGTGGTTTGAGGCCAGGAGTTTGAGACCACCCTGGCAAACAAAGTGAGACCCCTGTCTCTACAAAATATATATTATTTTAAAGAGGGGAATTTTAAAAGAGGGGAAAAGGGCACCCTGGGTCAGGAAGGTCACATCATACGCAGCTTGTGCCACGTACAGATCACTGTGGGCACACAGCCAACTCCATCTCTCAAACATGTGTGTCTGAAGCTTAAACTCTTACACAGTCACTGCTTTCAAGCTGGGCTAGGGAATGTGTCTTAAGTGAGAAAGTGTTCTGAAAGATGTAGAAAAACAAAGCCTTCAATTTGCCCAATTCTTCCCCTCTTCCATTATCTTCCTCATACCCTGGAAGATGGAACTGGGAGTTTGGACTTTTCATTTTATAGGTTTGCTAGATGGTGAATGGTCCTCTGTCCCAGGGCCTTTAATAATACCTTGTACTTGCATGTACTTGCCCTGGAAATAAGTTTTTCTTTTTTTTTTTTTTTAGAGTCTCACTCTGTTGTCAGGCTGGAGTGCAGTGGCACGATCTTGGGTCACTGCAACCTCCACCAGGTTCAAGCGATTCCCCTGCCTCAGCCTCCTGAATAGCTGGGACTACAGGCACGGGCCACCATGCCTGGCTAATTTTTATGTGTGTATTTTAGTAGAGATGGGGTTTCACCATGTTTGCCAGGATGATCTTGATCTCCCAACCTTGTGATCCACCTGCCCTGGCCTCCCAAAGTGCTGGGATTACAGGCCTATATTGTTTTAATTAGCTGGGCATGGTGGCACAAGCCTGTAGTCCTAGCTACACAGGAGGCTGGGGCAGGAAAACTGCTTGAGCCCAGGAGGTCGAGGCTGTGGTGTGCCATGTTCATGCCACTGCACTCTAGGGCAACAGGGGCACATCCTGTCTCAAAAATGAAAGTGAGAGAGGCAGAGACGCAGAAAGAGAAAAAGAGAGAAAAGAAAGGAAGAATGAAAAGAAAGGAAGGAAAGAAAGGAAAGGAAGGCAGGCAGGAAGGAAAAAAAGAAAATAAAAAAGAAAAGCAAAAGTTTTAAAATGCTTTTGGGCTGGGCGCGGTGGCTCATGCCTGTAATCCCAGCACTTTGGGAGGCCGAGGTGGGCGGACCACCTGAGGTCAGGAGTTCGAGACCAGCCTGACCAACATGGAGAAACTCCATCTCTACTAAAAATACAAAAAATTTGCCGAGTATGGTGGTGCATGCCTGTCATCCCAGCTACTTGGGAGGCTGAGGTAGGTGAATTGCTTGAACCCGGGAGGTGGAGGCTGCAGTGAACTGAGATCGTGCCATTGCACTCCAGCCTGGGCAACAAGAGCCAAACTCCTTCCCAAAAAAAAAAAAAAAAAAAAAATGCTTTTGGGCACCATGAGTTTATATGTGTTATGCCTAGGATATCTCAGTGTTCAAAAGTCCAAAGCAATAAGTACAGTAAGTACAGCAGATGCCTTCTAAACCCACCCCCTCTTGACTGAGTCACTGCTTGAGGCTTTCTTTGCCCTCTGTGAAACCCACACCCTGATGTGGTTACCTGGCTGAACACTATCTGGTGGACGACTCTCCAGTTAGTTCAGCTATTTCTGCTTCTGCCTGATGAGGTGTATATTCACCACGACTCATCTGTGTTTGTTCACCAACTTGATTATGCCTGTTATACTTGTTATTTTAAAGACCCAGTCTAATGAGATAATGCATAAACTGATGAACCATGGGAGTGGGAAGAAAAAGAGTTGTTTCTATAAAAACCAAGCCAAATGCTTGGACAAGACATCACGAAAGTGAGTTGCTATAAAAATTCCTGTCATATTAGGTGTGCTCAAGACAACTGTCAAGGTCTAGGGGAGAAAAAAACCATAAAAATCCAGAAGTCTTCTCTTTCAAATTGTTTAACAAGGATCTTTAAGCTCTCACTCTGCTAATACAAAGCAAAACTAAAAATCATGGACAAAGCACTATCGGTGTAGTTTATAAAAGAAAATGCTGAATTGTGATCAGCAAACCCATAGTCACAGAAAAGTCTGTGGCCCTATATAAAAAGGATGACAAAGAAGTATACATGTATGTGTTTTAAAGAATAACAAGTTGCTGGCTGGGTGTGGTGACTTACACGCTTATAATCCCAGCACTTTGGGAGGCTAAGGCGGGTGGATCACGAGATCAGGAGTTCAAGACCAGCCTGGCCAAGATGGTGAAACCTTGTCTCTACTAAAAATATAAAAATTAGTTGGGCATTGTGGTGGGTACCTGTAATCCCAGCTACTCAGGAGGCCGAGGCAGAGAACTGCTTGAACCTGGGAGGCGGAGGTTGCAGTGAGCCGAGATCACGCCACTGCACTCCAGCCTGGGCAACAGAGACTGTCTCAAAAAAAAAAAAAAAAAAAAAAAGTTGTTTATGGTTTGTACAATTTTGAACCATTCTGTGGTTTGAGAGACCTTCTTCACCAGTCCTATTATGAATAAAATGAGTATAGTCTTGTACTGTACTTAGAGATCTTTCCTGCTAATGTATAGATGAAGAAACTAAAGACATGTAGCTTGTTCAAAATCACAGGAGGAAGCTGGGACTGGAAGTCAGTCAACTTGTTTACCTTACGTGGTACCTTTCCTACAGCACACAGCACACCCCCGACTCACTGGGGCTGCTCACATGCACTTCCTGTCTCCAGCAATTAACAGCACAACTATGTTTGAATCATCTCTGGGCTTTTAAAAATATAACACATTTTGGCTGGGCACAGTGGCTCACACCTATAATCCCACCACTTTGGGAGGCCGAGGCAGGTAGACCACCTAAGGTCAGGAGTTCAAGACCAGCCCAACCAACATGGAGAAATCCCATCTCTACTAAAAATAGAAAATTAGCCAGGTGTGGTGGTGCATGCCTGTAATCCTAGCTACTTGGGAGGCTGAGACAGGAGAATCGCTTGAACCTGGGAGGTGGAGGTTGCGGTGAGCCGAGATGGTGCCATTGCACCCCAGCCTGGGAAACAAGAGTGAAACTCCACCTCAAAAAAGAAAATTATATAAAATATTTAAAATGTGAATATATATGTTGTATAAGTATATAAATAAATGTATATTAAATATTATAATTAAATATATAAACATACTTATACTAAAGATATAACTTTAAAATATTAAATATTTAAGATAAAATAGTGCTATAACATAACGTAGCTGCCTAATGGGATTTTCTGGCACCATGAGAGCGAAAGGATGACCATTTAGTCATACTTCAAGAGCATCCCCCTTGTTTTCAGTCCAATCTGCCATGAATGAGGTTTGTGTGTTCTCCTGGGAGGCCACCCAGGCCGGCTCATCCAGTGGTGGCCACCCCCTCGGGCACATTACCTCCTCCTTCTGGATGACACTGATCCTGGTCTTGATGTAGGGGAAGGCATGCATGGTAGTCAGGACCGTGTTCCTTCTGTACTGCTCGTGCAGCTCTCCCCGAGGCCGCCCCTCCAGGGTGAACGGGGTGGTGTACATGAACCTCCGAAGGTTGAAATTCTTCTCAAAGTATGTGACCCTGTCTTTCATCTCATACTCATCAAAGTAGGGCTCCACAAAAGTGATCTGTATGTAGGCCTGAGGGGGAAAAGACAGCAAGGGAGAAGATGAGCGATTCTGCAAACAACCATCCCTGACGCAATGGAGGGGCATGCTGGAACACAGCCAGCACCCCCCCGCCCGGTGCAGCCCGCAGCAGTTCCTCCTCTCCACTTCCAAGGAGAGAAGGGACTGCACGGAGGGAGAGGGGAATATGCCGTGGGGGGAGTCAGGGCCACTGGCCGTACCTTCCTAGCAGAGCAAACTGATCCACAGTGGAAGCCTTGGTATGAGAGTTTGCCAACTGCTATTCAAAAGAGACAAACTTGCCTTTTCAGAATGACCATGACCATCTCATGGTTACGAGGAAGTGTGATGGCCACACTAAAGAAAACTAACAATATCAAGTGCTGGCAAGGATGGAGATCAGCTAGTACTCTCATACACAGAGGGTAGGAATGCAAAATGCCCAGCTACTTTACAGAAGAAGCTGGTGGTCTCTCATGCAGTTAAATTGCGCTATGATTGGACTGAGCAACCCCACTCCTACATGTGTATGTGAGAGAAATAAAAGCTTATGTCCACACAAAAACCTGTACACAAATGTCTCCAGCAGCTTTATTCATAACAGACAAAGACTTGAAACAACCCAGATGTCCCTCCAGTGGGAAATTAACAAGCAAAAGGTGGGGTAGTCACACAACAGAATATTACTCAGCAATGGAAAGGAACAAACTACTGCCACTGATTACCAATGGGCATGGTAATTATTTTGGACTGGATCTCTTCTATATCTTGATTACGAAGGTGGTTACATGTGTTTGTTAAAACTCACAGAACTAAACTGAATTTTACTGCCTAGACCTCATTTAAGCACACACTCACATCATCCCCACCCTCAAACACAGAGCAAAAAAGTACTCATTAAAGAAGACAACCTCTCAGACAGAAAAAGTGACCACGCATGCAGATGCTGGGATGCCCACCCACTGAAAGGGATGTGGGGTCACTGACCTCAGACTGTAAATCATGATTTAGTATAATGAAATCTGGTTGTAATTCTGGGTTCAGACTCTCATTCCAAGCTCTCACAACCTACCCTGGGGATTTCTTACAAGATGGGAAAAAGGCATCCTAGGTCAGGGAGGTCACATCTTATGCAGCTTGTGCCACGTACAGATCACTGTGGGCACGCAGCCAACTCCATCTCCCAAGCATGTGTGTCTGAAGCTTAAACTCTTACACAGTCACTGCTTTCAAGCTGGGCTAGGGAACGTGTCTTAAGTGAGAAAGTGTTCTGAAAGATGTAGAAAAACAAAGCCTTCAATTTGGCCAATTCTTCCCCTCTTCCACTATCTTCCTCATACCCTGGAAGATGGAACTGGGAGTTTGGACTTATCATTTTATAGGTTTGCTAGATGGTGAATGGTCCTCTTTCCCAGGGCCCTTATTAATACCTTGCACTTGCATTATTTCCAGTAACTTAGAAAGCTTGTTCATGGACATGTTTGCCTGTGAGCTGTGCTGAGCGGGCAGTATCAGCCTGAATGTGTCTGGTCTTTGTCTCCATTTCCTAGCACAGAACTTCAGAAACACTTGGAATTTCCTCAGTGATGGGTGCCTTTGTTATGCTAACGAGGCAACTCATGCTGGGCCCCTGGACAGCTTCAGGATGCCAAGTGGCCACCAAAAAGACCAATTCTGTGATTAGAGGGTAGGAACTGGATGACCTCTGAGAGAGAAGCTGCGCTGGAGATTGTGTTCAATCTGCCTACATAATGAAACCCCAACAAAATCTCTGGACACTGAGACTCGGTGGAGCTTCCTGGGTGGAGAACACACTGATGAGCCTGGAAGCCATAAGCAGAGGCACAGAAATGGTGTGCACCCTTTATCATAAAACTCTGAGAGTAAATAGAGTACTTTTTGGAATTCCGTGAGTCACTGTAGTGAATTATTTAATCTAAGTGGTGTTGTAGAAACTCCCAAATAATAATAATAATAATAATAATAATAATAATTAGTTTTATTTTCTCCTATTTTCAAGCTAACAGGTTCTAGAAACACCCAAATTTGTAGCTGGCTGACAAGAAGTGCAGGTGGCCTGGGGGCCCCACTAGAAGCTGGCATCTAAAGAAGTCAGGGCAGTCTTGAGGAGGTCTGAGCCTTTAACCTGTGGGAGCTGATGTGACCTCCAAGGTTAGCATCAGAAGTGTACACCCAGTTTGGGGTGAAATGGAACATACCCTCTGGTGAAAGTTAGAAAACCCAAGCCCAAGCCTGTACTTGGCTGGAAGGAATGCTTGCAGCCTAAAGAAGGAATCCAGTAAATGCTGTCAGTGAGAAATTTGCATCTTTTTCACATGTTTAAAATGGAGAGTTTAAAGGCTTTAAAAAAAAAAGGCAGTAAAGAGCAGTGCTTAAGAGTAGGGGTTTGGAAGCAACAGACCCCAAGTCTGAGTATTGGCTCTGCCAGTTGCATAACCTTGAAAGCTGCTTGACTCTTTTATGTCTCAGTTTTCTCATCTCCAAAATAGGAACAACAAAACCTACTTCCAAGGGCTGAAATAAAATAATGCAGGATGAAATAAAATGATGTATGTAAAGGGCCTAATGCAGTTCCAGGTACACAGTTGGTACTTAATAAGTGGTAGCTCCTATCATGATTCCTACATTTGAGTATTTTTTCTTTAAGATCTGAGTTGAACTCTAGACAAAAAGGTTTGGCTGCATTTAAGTGACTTAGAGAGTTCAGACAGATGAGGTCAGTATTTATCCTTGGGTAAAATGAAGTGATTTACAGCCTGACCATTATTTTTTGTAAATTTTTTTATACCTTGTGAGGATCCAACTTGGTTTTGTCCACAGGAGTGGAGTCTTTAATCACTTCCACAAATTCTGCACCAAAACATTGACCGTAAAATGCCTAGGTAAGAAGAACCAATAGTTTATAAAGGTTATTTTAACACAAGGTCACTTTTTGTCTTCTTGGAAGTGAAATAAGTTTGGAACAAGTACAAGGTAGAATGATGCTCACTGATTATTGAGAGTCCCCTGAGCTAATGAGCAAAGTTCAGCATTTCCTGAGACAAAAATAAAAATGGCACTGTCAACTGGTATATGCTTCTTTATAAGATGTATGCTTGGCCTCTGATTCAACTAACATCATTATATTTCCTGAGGCATCTCCTGGGTTACCACACTCTGCTTCTTACCTTCTGTACCCTGGGAACTTGGGTACAGAAGGCCTCCCATATTGTGGCAAATCAGTGCACAAGAAGATAAAATATACACCTCTAATTCTAAGTAGCGGAAACAATATAGGGAACCAAGCGGCCTGGGGTCAATGGCTAGCTCTTTTCCTCATGTGCTAAACAACTTTGGGGCAACTCACCCAGCCACTCTGGGCAATGGCTTCTTTGAGTCAAGTAAGTATAAACCTTCCTGTCTTTTTTGGCATGGATGCAGAGTGTAAGAAGCCATTAGGCAACACAAATGTTTGAAGTTTTACACTCATAGGAGGGTACAAATTCAAAGCAATGAAAGCCTAAGGAGTGAATCTTTGGTTAACTGTGAGTAGTTCAAGGGACCCCAGTCCTGCTTGGTAATTGCAGATTCTTTGTAAACAAACTTCTGTTCATCCAAATCCCCAAAAGTGCTTGAGAAGATTTTTTTGGGGGAGCTACCTTTGACTGAGTTCTTAGTGTTTGATCCTTATAACCTGTGTTTCCTTTGTCCTGACCTTTCTCTAGGCTGTTTCTCTTTTTCTCCATGCTTTCAGCTTTGCCTCTAACAATATGCTGCAGTTTCCTGTCACATTATGTACCAAATGTCACTGGCAGGTTAGAGCTGGGCTGGCCACAGCCCATGGTATGGCTACTGCCGAGTAGCTCCATATCAGAATGACCCCAGATGGCATCCAGTGATACCTAAAGGATGGCCTCACTGTTTTCTAGGGCTGATTCAGTCATTTGGCCACATGACTTCAAAGTCAAGACGATAACCTTCATGCCGAAAAACTTTTACTCTCTCTCTACTAGTATAAACTACTAACATTTGGAAAGGCTGATAAGAAAGCAGGTGACCTTGATTGAATTTTGCACAGACTTGAAAATAAATATTCACCATATAAAATTACAAACTATGAAAAGTATACACAGAATCTTAGGGAAAAACTATCAAAATCTTACGTTACCTCATGATCTCACCTAATACCTTTCTACTTTGTCTTTTATAAATGCAAAGGGTAAAACTTTATGTAGAGATCAATGATGAATCCATAACTTTTTACTTATTTGTTTATTTTTGGTAATGACCCACTCAGACTTGTTTTTGTTAAGAGTACAAGGTCAAGCACACAGAATCACCTTTCTTACCTCTAGTCTGTGTGAGATCTCAGGAAGCTTGGTAATTGCGGGCTCTTTGTAAACAAATTCCTGTTCATCCAAATCCCCAAATTTGGATCCATAGAAACCAACTCGGAAGTAGGTTCCAAACATTCTCTTGTGATCCTGAGGAAAAATATAAAAGCCTCTCCTTAGTTATGAAACCCTGAGGAGCCATTGAGTTGTAAAGGGCAGGGGTCTTTCATGGTGTCACAAAGCATTTTACTCCTGTGGCTGATATAAACAGAAATTACTCCTTAAAAAAATCTAATGTTTATGTAATAAACTTCAGAAATAACAACAAAAGAAATCCCATGAAAGATTTCTGGGCCTTCCTTTAAGTAAATTTGAAAGTTTCTCATATTCTCTCGTTATAAAGCAACTCAAACTATATATTTTCACATTAGGAATTCTGGTCCTCTGTTGGAGGAATTCCAGCCCTTTTCTGTTTGACAGATGACAGCAAAAGCATTGTGCTAAAGGTAAATTACTCCCTAGAGAGGAAGGACAGCTAAGCATCTATAGGACAGGGTCATCTGCCGCCAGGTAACAGGACCTGCTAGCCAGGCTCCCCCCCGCTACCTTGTTGACAATGCTGTCAAAGGTCCTCTGCAGCTTGCTGTGAATCAAGGTCAGCTTCCGGAATTCTCGATGTTCTTCTAGGATGGGGATCACCAGCTTGTAGACCTCATTAACCGTCTCATATAAGCCTCCCTTGGAAAGAGGAGAAGAGCATCGGAGAGAATTTAATCCACTGGAAACTTAAGAAGAGCAACCAAAGGTCACTGTCTAAACAATATGCTGGAGAGTGAACCTATTATTGTATCACAGTATTTTACAGGGCAAGAGGGATATCTAAGCATTTTGGGGACAGTGCTGGCCTTCACACTGAACTAGACAGCTCTGTAAGTAGTCCTGTATGGTGATAAGTAGGGAGAAGAGCTTTCACGGGGAAAAAAAACAAAACACACTGGCTAGGTATAGTGGCTCATGCCTGTAATTCCAACACTTTGGGAGGCTGAGGCAGGAGGATCACTTGAACCCAGAAGTTTAGACCATCCTAGACAACATAGGGAGACCCCATCTACATAAAATTATGAAAATTAGCCAGGCAGGGTAGCATGCGCCTGTAGCCCCAGTTACTTAGGAGGCTGAGGTGGGAGGATGGCTTGAGCTCAGGAGGTCAAGGCTACAGTGAGCCAAAATGGCACCACTGCACTCCAGCCTGGGTGACAGGGCAAGGCCTTGCCTTAAAAAAAAAAAAAACAAAAAAACTCCCAAAGAATAGGTAGTATTAGAGTGAAAACAAAATGCCATTTTAGATTATATAAATGATTATAAAAAAAAAAAAAAAAAAAACAAAACAGGAGAGAAGTTTGGAAGCAGGGACTAATAGCGATTCAGAAAGGCTGTTTTAGTATATTTAGATTTCATCAGAGGTCCTCCTTTAGCCAGATGCTAAATGTATGAGTTAGCAGGATTCTAATTCATTTTCTGGAGTTTGAGGAGATATGAGAGTATATTAGACATTTTCTGAATCCTGAAAAGGAAAGCAGGAATAGAGAGAAGATAGTTAAAACAATAATTAAAATACATAAAATTGTAGAGAGGAAACTTGGAAGTAAAAAGTAGAAAATAAGGATTAGTATAGTACAGATGAAAACAAAATTGGATCAGCTAAATATAGTGAAGTATTGAATACTTTCTTGGCTTAAAATTTAAAAGAGGAGGGAGATTAATAAAATGAAAACAGGTCAGGCATGGTGCTCACACCTGTAGTTCCAGCACTTTGGGAGGCCAAGGTGGTCAGATCACTTGAAGCCAGGAGTTTGAGACCACCCTGGCCAACAGGGTAAAACCCTATCTCCACTAAAAATACAAAAAATTAGCCAAGTATGGGGTGCATGCCTGTAATCCCAGCTACTTGGGAGGCTGAGGCAGGAGGGTTTGTTGAACCCTGGAGGCAGAGGCCAGGATTGTACCACAGCACTCCAGCCTAGATGACAGAGCAAGACTCTGTCTCAAAAGAAAAAAAAGAAAAAGAAAAAAGAAAAGAAGACAGAGTTTCCTCTTTGCCTGAATCTCCATGACTTCATCTCTCTCTACATTTTTCCTAGTATATATACTAAGAGCGTTTAGGTCCAGATTAAGTTAACCAGAGGAGTCTCAGTGGTTTCTGTGCCCACATTTCTCTAAGCTGGTCCTGGTCTGTGATGATCCCGCAGACTGCACAGTGGCTAGGAGGGAAGACACTATATGCTTATTCCTTCTCTCTTCTCCCAGTGGTTCCTCCCCAGTTTTTTTCTCTCTGAGAGGAAAAATGAAGGAATGAGAACATGCCTCATCATTTATTGTGTAACCCTGGGCAAGCCATTTCATCTCTCTGTGGCTTAGTTCCACCCCTATTAAATGGAAATAACACTGTGAAACTGCTGCCCAGCCAATAAGCATGCAGTGAAGGCCAGATCAGCGCTGTGATGAAAGGATGTCTCAGCTCCCTTAGGGAGCTCGTGCAATTTGCATACATCCAAGTCCTCCCCAGGCCCATCCCCTGCCCTGCACACCCTGGCATGTGTCCTCAGGAAGTGGGGCTGACTGCTCCAATAAGACCAGGTGTTTCCAGGACCCCAAGTCCAGCTGGAGTGAGGGAGGCCAGGCCCCAGGATGCCCTCTGGGCACTGACCGTGCTGAAGAGCTCTGATGCCTGCTCCAGGAGGCCCACCAGGCCGCTCTCGGTGAAATATTGGCCTACACACACTCCATCCTCGTCAGGCGACAGCGTGTCATCAGAGACCACAGACTCCTCCAGCACATTGGAAGAAATATTCTGAAAGAGACCACAGTATAAGCCTGGAGAACAGGGTGACCAGACTGGTAAGAGACCATAGGAACCCAGACTGGGGGAATGAGGAAGCTGGTATTTAGATCTTTACCAAGGCTGTGATTAAACTAGGTCTGCGGTTCTACCCCGGGAGTATCTGTCTGCCATTCATTTAGAAGGGGCGCACTGAGCGACTGGTCTTCAAACCTCACGTTTTTCTTTTTAATCATTAGGAGATTTTGCATAGAGGATACTCACCTCAATGTTACAACAGCTGAGTTACTTTAGTGAAACAACCCTAAGGGACATATGGCTGGTGTCTTGGTTTTCAAAAGGCAAAGGTCAATTAACATTAACTAGACTCCCTGCTTCACCAACTGAGTGAACTCTGGCTTCCAGTGCTGTTTTTCTGAAGAACTTTGCCATGTGTAGTTGACTTTCAGATAAACAGCCATGATACATGACAACAGCAAGTGAGGCTGTCTTCATTAGGGAAGTTTTCATGGCATTGCAGCAGTTACTGTGTTATTTTTCCCTGAAGATTTTGTTCACATGCATTTTTTCCTTTACATAAACCATTGAGTTTAAAGCCTCTAGCCAAGCATGCAGAGACCATGGTTAGGGTAAACCAAATGAGAAACCCAAGATATAAAATTTAGAGAGGTACTCACTTTTAGAGCCATGGAGGTACTGATCTTGTACCTGCTTGACCCTGACAGAGAGTGCCTCCTCACCCTAGCACTGGGTCTGGCAGTGAATATGTGACAGGTCAAGAGTCATTTTCTTTTTAGCTCACAGCTATGGAAGAAATGCATATGGAAAATTAAAGAAATGGGAAACCTTCCCAGCCTAGGGATTATAAACAGGTGGCACACATGCTACTCCTTCCTATTGCTGTAATCATGGCAGGCATAACTAATCAACTGTAGCACTCTTACTCCAGAGCTTGGAAATAGTCTCAAAATTCTTCAGTATAGTGCTCCAGTCAGCCACTACTAACTGATCAGAGTTGGCTTGTAAACTAAAAGCTGTCTGCCTTCTGGCCTGTTTAACAAGATCAAGTGAATCAACCTTAGCAATCAATGAGGACACAGTTGTCGTAGATAGCCCTATCCCTTCACACACAATACTGTAATGTAGTTTTAGGAATATAGGAGGAGGCACTCTAAGCCTTTTGTGGCCAGCCTTTCTTCCAAGCCTGGCCTATGTATTATGATGTTTCTGTGAACTGGAGATAACAGAAGGTCCAGGAAATTCAGTTGAAAGCATTTAAAACCCAGGATATGAATGCTATTAGAATTGCATGCAATTTTCCACATGAGAGGAACAGATTTGAAGCTATGTAGCTTCATTAGCTGTAGTCAGAGGAAAAGGATTCTACAGACTTTCTTGGCTTCAGAATCAGGGAGGTACAAGTAACAGCAGTATCTAAGAACGTGTCCATATCTACAGCTGTGAAATTCTGTGTACTCTGGGACACAGGATTTCAGTGATCTCAGTTTCTTGGAATTCAGTGACCTCAAAGTTAGTTTTCTTTGCACAGATTTATTTATCTCTAGTTTGTAAATCTTTTCCAAAAGCTCAATTTCATTGGAGCAGAACAAGGTTGAAAATCAAAGCAAAAAGCATTTGCAAAATCAACACTGGATAGCTGTTGTTAATGCTGTCTAGAATTCTTCTTCTATAAAGTAAAGCATCCTGATTTCAGGGAAGAAATCACCCACAATTCCAGGTGTGGACCTGTGCTCTGGCTCAGCCAATCAGAGCACTCCATTTCTCTGGCCATTATGGCTGGTTCAGGGATGAGCACATGACCCAATCAGGATCAATAAGATGCACTAAGGCTTTCTCTGCAACTGCTAGAAAGGAGACATCTCTCTTCTCTCCTAGACTTGAACCTAGAGATGTAAACCCAAACTGTGGTGTGGGAAGCCTGTGAAGAATGAAGCTGACACGAAAGATGGCAGAGATGAAAAGTGGTGATGACACTGAGCTCTGCTGACATTGTTTGTGCCCCTAGGTCCAGTATGGCAGGTGCTACTCCAGGCTCACATCGCTTATACAGGCTGACAAATTCCATTTTTACCTTCTGTCAGTCTGGGTTGGGTGTTCTTTCACTTGCCAGCTACATTTCCAAATTGATTTGGTATGTCCCATTTGAGAGAAAAGGAATTCACTCATACACATTAATGTAATTTGGCTTCTCTTCTGTAGCTGAGAACACCTAACTCAATGTGTTCTGTACATCATGAAGGCTTCACACTGCAGTTTCTTCTGCCTTCCTTTTCTCCTTCTTCATCCTTCCCTGACCCTCAGGGCCTGGACCATAAATGCTCACAACATCTTGTGCCTCTTTATAACAGTATTTCTCATTATTATAACTAAATAAAGAATGGGATAATTAGTTATATGGTATCTCTCTGGTTACAATGTAACATTCATGAGGACAGGATAAGGATCCAATAAATATTCTCTAAAAGAAGGAATCAATGAGTAAAGATATGTGAACAGATAGAGCTGTATCCCCATGTTGGGATAATGTAATATTTCTGTTGATTGTACAATAATGATTCTGTCTCACTTTGGCATGTCATTCTTAGCAAATCAGTTGAATTCTAGGTAAAATTAGGACAGTAAGGCTTACTAAATATAAAAGTCAATAACGAAATGTAGTTGATATTTAAGTAATAAATGTTAAATAAAATGTAGTCAGCCGGGCGCGGTGGCTCAAGCCTGTAATCCCAGCACTTTGGGAGGCCGAGGCGGGTGGATCGCTAGGTCAAGAGATGGAGACCATCCTGGTCAACACGGTGAAACCCCGTCTCTACTAAAAATACAAAAAATTAGCTGGGCATGGTGGTGTGTGCCTGTAATCCCAGCTACTCAGGAGGCTGAGGCAGGAGAATTGCCTGAACCCGGGAGGCAGAGGTTGCGGTGAGCCGAGATCGCGCCATTGCACTCCAGCCTGGGTAACAAGAGCGAAACTCCGTCCCAAAAAAACAAATAAATAAAAATAAAAATAAATAAATAAATAAAAATAATAAATAAAAATTAAAAAAATGTAGTCACAGGAAAAAGGCATAAAAGAATTATAAAATAGTAAATGAAACAATATTAAGTGCTAAACCGAATTGAAGGAGTAGTACTATAATATTTATTCTTGATAATATCTAACAGCCAAAATAAATTTGAGAAAAGCAGATATATCTAAAATAACTTTTATAACTTTCTTGTATACTTTTAAGTGATTTAAAATCAGGTATTAGTTTTATGGTTTTGGATGAGATTTTATAACAAACATTTCTGAATTAAGAAGAAAATTCATTTTCCAAGCATGAAATCACAGAATAACTATTTTTGTTCTTGAGAACCATAAGAAAGGAGGAGCTATTCATAGGAGGCAAAACCCAGCTTTGCAGTGTTCTGGGAAACCAGAAGCTCCTGGCTCCACCAGCCTTGTTTCGGTGACTTATTCTCTAAGCCCGGGAAAGCTACTTTGAATTGTTCTTTCTTTCTGGTTCATACAACATCACAAAATTGTGTTGAAGAACAATAATGAGAACAAAGCTTTTCATAAAGTCAGTCATGTAAACTCAAACAAGAATAATACAAACCCTTGTAAATGACTTCGTGAGTCTGGCTTGAAAAACACTCTATTACTGTAGCTATATTGTTCATGGTTTCAGGGATGGGCATCTCCAAAAATTATGTCTCTTGCAAAAGAAGTACCCAACATTATGTTTTTTCCTCTCTCTCTAAAGCCTGTATTAAACCATTCAATAAGAACACTGTAAATGGCCACTGAGCATCCTCATCTGAGCCAGCTTTTAGGTCTGGCAGACAATTTCTCTTTGCCAAGTGGGGGTAATTTTCAGCTTATCCTAAGAAGGGACTGATTCAGCCTTTTGTTTCCCTTCTCAGGTGAGTTTGATTTTTTCTTGATTTTGGATTGGAGAGTGGGCCCCTACAAAGTCAGAGAGCGGAATCAAATGAATGGGCCAGGAGGGAAACAATTTATCCAATGTTTTCCAAACTTTCACAGATGTCAGTATACTATGTCAACTACATGTCATTGAAAAAGAGTTTAAATGACCTTAGAAAAATTGCTCTCTCAGTTCTCCCATCTGTAAAGTGGGAGTATAATGCCTTCCCTATCTACCTGCTTCACAGCTTTATGGGGAAGTTCAAATGAAGCCATGCATGTGAAAGTGTCTGCAAATGTCTCCTAAAGTGCTACTGACTCTAGGTGCCATTATTGTAAACAACAATTAAAAAGACAAAAACCAACAATGATGGAAAAGCAATTAGAAGAGGCAAATATAATGTATGAACTTGGGATTTTTCAACCTTAGCATTACAGACATTTGGGTCCAGATAATTCTTTCTCGAGGGAGCTCTCTTACAGCGAACGTTTACCAGCATCCCTCACTTCTACCAGTCAGATGCCAGAAGCACCTACCCACCCACCCCCATTGTGATAACCAAAAATGTATCTTGACATTGCCAAATGTCCTGGGGCTGGGGGACAAAATTGCCCAGGTGAGAACCACTGCTCTAAGGGAAAAGCTGCACACACCCCACCTGGAAGCTGACACTGCCCACGGGCAGGTAGCTGTGGTCCTCCAGCATGCTCAGATACTCAGCCACTAAGGCAGCGGCGTGCACCAGGCACATGGCGGCCTCCGTGTAGCACTTCCTCTTGGTGTGTTTCTCTGCCATGTTCTGGAGCCAGGTCAGCCGCAGATCAGGAGATGCCTGGTAACTCTTGGCAATTCTGAAGACAGATTGAAAAGTAGTTTCGAGGACAATGGGTTAATGACACTGTTCTACTGTGTGTGACCTTTTCTTTTTTTCTCCCCAAGAGTTCCCCGCACCCTTCCACCTGAGATTTCACCCTACATTTCCAGAAAATGAGAGAGAAAGAAACATATACTAGTCTCTTGATTTTTATTCCATGTTTAAGGTGTGCTGACCTCCAAGAAATAGTACTTAGTAAAAGCCTTACGGGAAAAAAAATACCTGATAACATGATGTTTATTTTAATAGCTCTCAGGCAATTCTCTGCCTTTTCTTTTGTTTCTCTCAAAATAAAACAGAAGACAAAAGTACTGCCCTTGTATAATGGTGCATCAGAACAATTTTACCTCTGTAAGTAATTTCTCCCGGACTGGAAGACCAAGTTTTAAACTACAGTATAAAAAATGATTTCTAAAGTAAAACTATATGTGTATGTCTGAATATAATTGGAAGAGAACCATATAGAAAATAATTCCTATAACAGTTGATTATTCTTTTCTCTGATTCCGTGGTAAGTAGAAGATAGTGTTATTAAATAATGTGTCACTTTAAATTAGGGAATCCCTCTGAAAATTTACATATGAATGAACCTACTCTGAATGTTTAATTTCTACATATTATTCGAATGTCGTACAAATCACTATATCCATGTTACCTGTGAGCATTACATCGGTAAGAACTCCACAGTGACAAATCTTCAACCCCAAAGTGATGCCCCTTGGGTTTCAGGAAAGCTTACCTATACATGAGATCCATAAGCATCTCAGGATCTTCCTGAAATTCCCTCATTTTCACCGTGTCATATAAGATGCTATTCAGATTACAGAGAAGTTCCTCCACCTGCAAAAAGTGTAAGCCTTGAAATAATCTTGGCTTTGTAGTCCCAGGTGAAGAGTTAGGATTACAATGAAACTGCAAGGGGAAGCCATGGGAAGGCTTAGAGCAGAGGGCAGCAGAGACTAGGGGTGGCAGAGTCATCTAGACCTGACTCTGTGGTTTTCATCTTCCCCAGCCCAGGTGCTTCTAAGGTCTGGATATGTGTTGGCCCTGGAGATCCATAAATCTGCCTGAATCCTCATGCTATGTCTTCTCCAATGTTTTTTGTTTAAATTAGTTTCAACCAGTTTCAGGTATTTGTAAACTGAAAAGTTCTCAACTGTACTCTGGAATATCAGGGCTTTTCATACCAAGTAGGAAGCAGCTTAGGACCTCAGCTTGAGTTCCATGTCTCAGAAGCCTCTTGGGTCTTCCCAGGGCTTCAGAGATTTTAGAACCTCTTGTAATCATTTGTTCTTAATTACAAAAGCCGACAGTGGAGGGACAGGGGAGCCTGCAGTACAAAAAGGATGACAGACTATGTTTTGATCTGTAGCCCCTGGCAGATGACTCAGCCACAGAATGTTGTCTTATCCCCTCTCCCCTCTGCCAGCTTGCCAGAGCTCCTAAAATTTCTACCACTAGCGTCATTTCATTGGGTGAAGGCACTGAAGACCATTATTAAACTGTTCATATTTTGATTGGTCTTGTTGGTGAATATCTCTCCATAAATGATGAAATTAAAGGAGTATGGTCAAGATGAAATGAGAGAGGAAGGATTTGAGGTAGAGGAGAGGAAAAAGGTTCTGAGAATGAGGATGCAACATTGCTTGAGAGGGCAAGAGAGACTTTAGAAATAGGGTTCTCAGACTAAGGGAAAAAAAGAAAACATTCATTCATTCATTCTCACTTAATTAAGGCCCTACTATAGAGCAGGAGTTAAAAGATAAAAGGGACAGGCTAGAGTTCCATGGTCATTGTAATGGACATGGAAGAGATTATTGTCCTTACAAGTTTCCTTAGGACAACCTTGTTTACAAGCTCTCTCGAACTTGGCCCTTCCTTACCCCTTACTAGACAAGCTGGTCCCTTTACCGTCCCTTCAGACAGAAATAATTCATTCTCTCAGCTACTTACAATTTCCCCCTCACTTGCCCCCTGCCTAGCTGAACCCTATGTTAGCCTTTTAATCTTGTCCCTCCCTACAGGCGTTCCTGGCCACCAGATTGTTTATTAATCATATCCTCTCTTCCTCTAACATTACATAGCATTTAGTTCCTTACCACACAGTTTTCACTTATGTATCACTTATCTTGTGCTGACTCCTAATTGTTTTGAGACTGAGCCCTCCAAATAGACTGCTAGCATCTTGAATTTGGGGACAGCAGTGGACATATTTCTTTTTAACCTCTCAGAGCACGGAGAGCACATGCATATTGGACAATAAATGCTTGCAAATGTTATGTGAGTATGTTTCTACATAAATTGCATCTATATGTACATACATACATACATACATAATAGTTGGCAGATCTCAAACTCATGTATGAGACATGTATGTGCTTCGGTGTACCTGGGTGGGAAAAGGAGTCATCTGCATGGCCGTGTCCTCTTCTAAATAGGCCAAAATTGTCCTCAAGGATCTTCTCAGGTGCTCTTCATTAAAGTCTGGTGCTCTGCCCACCAAAAATGCCAGCGACATGGTTACTTGCATCTTTACTCTTGCAAAGTTCTATATCAGTGAAAAAAAAAAAGAAATGATTAAGAAGCACTCAGCAGTAGGTAACTGAAGGCAGCATGACCAGACACAAATAACTCGTCAATGTTTCCTTTACCCCTGTCTTAATCATTTCCCCTTCTCTCAATGAAACAGGAACTACACTTATTGCACAAGATTTATATTGTTGTTTAAATAGTTTAAATGGACAGTGCTCTCACATAAGTCTGTCAGGCTCCCTTTAAATTTTCATTGAGGACTGTGCTGCCTTGGTGCTGCAAGCTGGAAGAGTCTTAGAAAGTTAGGTCTAAGGATACGGATATCCTTTTGTGCCAAGTCTCTTCTTGGGACTTTATTTAAACTTTATTTAAAGAAAGGGACTTTCAGCTTGGCCTCCCAGCACTTTGGGAGGCCAAGGAGGGTGGATCACTTGAGGTCAGGAGTTCGAGACCAGCCTGGCCAACATGGCAAAACCCCATCTCTAATAAAAATATAAAAATTAACGGATGTGGTGGTGTAAGCCTGCAATTCCAGCTACTCAGGAGGCTAAGGCAGAAGAATCACTTGAACCAGTCGGCAGAGGTTGCGGTGGGCTGAGATCACGCCATTGCATTCTAGCCATGGTGACAGAGCGAGACCCTATCTCTAAATAAATAAATAAGGGGACTTCTGCAGCCAGCATTTCTGAGATTTTGAACTCTGGGTTAGCTTTTTGATTCTTCTTCCTTTACGGGTCTATGAAGAAATATGGCTATCTCAAGGGGCCCTGAGGAATGTCCTAAAGGCTTTTAAATAATCATCCTTAATGTATTCAGAGGAGGTTGACTTTCTTCCATGGGCCAATTTATTTTTTAATATCACTTGAGCATACTCATTAACATAGCCACAAATGGAAATGCCAAAGAACATATCAAAATCTAAAGCAAACTTGACTGTTCTATAATAAAGCTGATCTCTAAAGTCTTTGTAGCTTTGAATAAAACTCAAGTCTTGGCTAAGCTTGATGGCTCATGCCTATAATCTCAGTACTTCCGGGGGCTGAGGAGGGAAGATCACTTAAGCTCAGGTGTCTGAGACCAGCCTGGGCACACAGCAAGACCCTGTCTCAACAAAAATGCAAAAAAAGTTAGCTGGGTAAGGTGGCTTGTGACTGTAATCCCAGTTATTACACAGGACGCTCATGTTGGAGGATCACTTGAGCCCAGGAGTTGAAGGCTGCAGTGAGCTATGATTGTGCCACCACACTCCAACCTGGGTGACAGAGCAAGACCCTGTCTCAATAAATAAATAAATAAATAAAATATTAAAATAAAACTCAGGTTAGATGACACTGATCATTTAAAACTCTCTTCCATAGGTCATTCTGGCACTAGCTAGTCAGAATTTAGAAACAGGAAACACTCTTCTGAATTCTAACCTGTCTATTGTATTTTTTTCCCTACAGATGATAACTTCTAATCTAAAATATTCTTCCATTTCTTCTTTTTTTTTTTTTTTTTGAGACAGGGTCTCAGGCTGGAATACAGTAGCACAATTGTGGCTCACTGCAACCTCTGCCTCTGGGCTTCAAGTGCTTCTGGGGCCCCAGCCTCCTGAGTAGCTAAGATTACAGGTGTGTGCCACCATGCCTCGCTAATTTTTTGTATTGTAGGGTTGGGAGTTTCACCATATTGGCCAGGCTAGTCTTGAATTCCTGGCCTCATGTGGTCTGCCTGACTTGGTCTCCAAAAGTGCTGGGATTACAGACGTGAGCCACTGCACTTGGTTATTTTATTATTATTTTGAGATGGAGTCTTACTCTGTTGCCCAGGCTGGAGTGCAATGACACAATCTTGGCTCACTGCAACATCTGCCTCCCAGCTTCAGGCGATTCTCCTGCTTCAGCCTCCCAGGTAGCAGGGATTACAGGCATGCGCCAACACACCTGGCTATTTTTGTATTTTTAGCAGAGATGGGGGTTTCACCATGTTGACCATAGCTAGTCTTGAACTCCTGACCTCAAGTGATCCACCCACCTCGGCCTCTCAAAGTGCTGGGATTACAGGTATGAGCCACTGCGCCTGGCCTCTGGCTGTCTATTTTAGAAACATACTGATAAGGGACCACTGCATTTATCTGATGAATTCACTTTTAGATGCAAATTAAAATGGAAGCTGCTATCTACCTATTGCTATACTCCATTGTTTCACTCTCACAGGACAGATTACTGTGTAATACTGCAAAATTTCCTTATTTTTTTTTTTTTTTTTCCTCAGCTGATGCTATGCATTAACTTTCTCTCCCAATTCCAGGTCACTCAGCTTGTTCGAACTCTTACACTGGTGGCTCCAAAACTGAACCTCATGAGGAGGTAAAGCGTGGCGCAGGCTTGGGTCCGGGTGACATCCATGCTGCTGCTGCAGTGGTGCAGGACTTGGTGACACAGGTTGGCACACTGTTCCACCTCCTCTTCAAAGAGTAAGTCTCCAAACTAGGAGAGACACAAGGGGCCATTAGGTATCACTTGGCACTTTGATATAATTTCTGAACCGTTGAAATATGCAAATGTCCATTTGGACAAGCAAAAGCCTAGAAGAATTAATGCATTACTCCAAAAAGATAATGAGCTATGAGAGTTAGAAGACAGATTTAAGCAATGGAGGATACTTGGGATTTAATTATGAACTGCCCAGCTAAGGTCAGGGCTGTGGTGTTAACTGCACTGTGAGCCAGGTCGCATTCACTGGTGTAATCACAACTATAAAGGAATTAAACCTGAGTTTCCTGGGTTCCCAAGATATTACTAGTGACTTAAAAAGAGAAAATGGTCCTGCTAAGGATGAGCAGCAGGATTTTACTTTCTAAATTTAAAAGATCCCATGTAGAAGGCACCAACTAAGATCTTCAATAATGGGAAAAACAGGCCGGGCACGGTGGCTCATGCCTGTAATTCTAGCACTTTGGGAGGCTGAGGTGGCAGATCACTTGAGGTCAGGTGTTCGAGACTAGCCTGACCAACAGAGTGAAACCCTGTCTCTACTAAAAATACAAAAATTAGCTGGCCATGGTGGCACACAAATGTAATCCCAGCTACTCAGGAGGCTGAGGCACGAGAATTGCTTGAACCCGGGAGGCAGAGGCTACCACCAACTGAGATGGCATCACTGCACTCCATCCTGGGTGACAGAGTGAGACTCAGTTTCAAACAAGAAAAATAAAGACATAAATAAAAAATAAAAAGAAAAATAATCTGCATGTTACCCCAGGATAATCCTCATTCCTCAGGCTATGACAAATTCATTTCTAACCTTCCCAGCATTTTATGGCATGACATTTTGTAAGACTAATGGGAGTCACACAGAGGATTTAATCTCACTCAGAGGAGGTATTACAGAGAAAGAGTGAAATTGCTAAGTCACTCAGTCGATCTCTTCTCTCATGTCATAGACCTTCAGTGAGTGACCATTTCAAACTTCTAGAGTTAGGTCCACGTTTCAAGTATGGGAGCCCCTGCTTTTCCTCTGCATGGTGGCTTCCCACAGAATCAGCACATCTACTTTCTTCCTAGAAAGACTTAAGACCTTTACTGTGAGGCCACTTATTATGCTCTGTGAGGCTGGATTCACCTGAAGAGAGAAGTGTGAAGCTAGATGAGAATTTTACTCTTAATTAAGAGGAAGAAAACAAGCATCCCATGTTTACCTTGGCAATGAGGGCGCGGAGTGTTGCATAGCAGTGAGTCAGGTAGGTGGTACTCTGATCGTAGTTCAGAGAACGCACCAGCACTCTCAAAACACCTCCCAGCAGGCTGTCTTTACAGTCCAGAGCCGAGCTTGCCTGGGGGAATGGAAGAACAGCATCATTGAATCCCTGCACTGTGCCAATGTTCCTGACAATTAGCTCAGTAGTGCTGATGTTCCATCTCCAGGGGTGAGTTTTAAGAGTTTGGTGAGCCACCACGGGCATCATCCATTAACCATGGGAACTGAAGACCTATTGCCAAATGGCTTTATTTCAATGCTTCCAATTAGTTTGGGATTTATTCTGGGTTCCTAAACGAAGGTAGAAGGCCCATCTCCCTCATCCTGGGTCACATCTTTTGGAAAGTTCTTTCTTTGTCTATGAGACATAGCTTTCCCTATGGGATTCAAAACACAATTGCGGGCTTCCCAGTACAACCGGGCCTGCTTGGTGGCAGCAATGCTTCTAAATAGAAGCTTATTTATCAGCTACATCAAGACTAACAACACCAAGGATAATAACAAAAGTTTCAGCTTTTTTTGAAAACTGCAAATATATTTGAGGACGGGTGTAGACATTTGGCACCCAATCAATGTCGTGCTATATAAAGATATGGTGAATGTGATACCAGGCATTATCAAAGATTTCAAAGCCATCAAAAATATCACATACTTTGTGCTTATTTTTGTATGACAATTACTTTGATTTTAGACAATTTAAAAGTTAGAGAATTAAGATTCCACTGTGTTTCAACAATATTTCTTCTGGCCCTAAAAGCAATACTGGACCTACTGTAATGAATGAATGACTTCTCAACGGAAACATGTAAAAACTCATTTTTCAGGGAAATTAAAAACTCATTACCTAGACATCTTGGGAATTTGTGGAAATATTACATAGACGATAAAATGAGTTTGGTACGAAGTTCACAAAGCTATATTTTTCTACAGCAGGAATGGCAAATTCATGGTACAAATGACTTTCCTTAACCAATTTAAGTCCAAAGAAGACATCGTTTGTCACATTTCACACTCTTTTAACTTAGCCTCATCATAATCATAGCTCCCATATCAGACTTTGACCGTCATTCAACTGGAGTTGACCCATCAGAAAAGATCCTAGTTAACACTGCTGTTCTAGATACTAAACTATAAACCCAACATCCATATTATAAACTTGGTACATACTCACACAAATTTAACCAAGAAGGTCAGCCTGCCAAACACATAACCCTCTCTCCAAGTAAGCCCTAAGTCAAAGAAGCCAGAAGAATGTTTGGTATCTCTGGAATTTATAAGGTAGACACTATTGCAAAGAGTAAACTTCTCAGCTTCATTTTAAAAAGAAGATACTATGGGATCACACTGATGTCTTTCACAATTTTGCATAAAGAAGTCCTTATTCAATTCTAATAAACATATTCATGGGAGATAGATCAGATTGGGTGTTTGTTTTCCTCACCTGGATAATGTTTTCCTGCATATCCAGGATGATTAAATTTGCTTCTGTAGCCAGATTGCCACTGATCAAGGCTTCTTGATCTAACTCTGCCTTTGTTCTAAGAAACAACAAGAGGTCAAATTAAAGTGCATGTCAAATCTGGCCAGGTTCCGATGATGGCAATCTCTGCACTAAGGCATAAAGAAATCTCCAGAATAGTCAACCTTGAAATGAAAACAGAGCAACTAGCTCTGAGTAGCTAAAGTGCAGGTGCCTTCTGTGATTCATGTTTGTTGAAACGATTGTCTAGGTAACGTCTCTTGGTTATGCTCATCCCCATTATTATTAATAATGATGACAATTATAAAAATAACACTATGGGTAGAGAGGCTGTTATTAGTTGCTAGTAGCAATTAAGCTGTCCTATCAGATTGTTGCCTAAAGCCTCAGGGCCATGGCTGTGTTTCATGCATGAAAACCATTTCTAGATCTGAGTAAGGGGAAGTCCCTGTAACAAGAGTGAGAGAGTGAGACTGGATGTGATGTGAGCTTGGCAGTGATGCGGCTGGGTTAGGAATGGGTGGCGCTTCAGAGCCGGGTCAGGGGAGAGTCAGTCACCGAACTTCCCAAAGACCACCTTGAGGTTCCTCAGCTAAAGGCGTGAAGTCTTTTGTCCTTTTCCACTGGGAAGCAAGACTGTATTCCTGTAGAGCAGGTGATCTAATATCCTGCTGGACATTACTGGTCATTACTCACTAGGGAATGGGAAATTGCCTGGTGCTCGCTTCTCTATTAGGTTTCACTTTAAGGAATTAGAATATTTCTTTTGCTAGACCATCCATTCTCATGAAATCTAAGTGAAGCCGTAAAGGGATATTTTGTATCATCATCCAAACTTAGTTGCAAGGAAAGGTAGGTATGAAGAATTGACTTTACCAAGATGTGTCAGTGGCCAAGGTGTTACCATGGTGTTGGGGTATCATTATATCAGCTCAGATGTCTTGGACCAGGATTAGCATTTAGCTTTTCTTGAGCCCCCTTAACCTAATAATGCAGGTGCTTATATACCATTGAGGACTCAAAAATAAGTATATCTGTGTGTTTTACATGTTTTCGTGTTTAGGATAGGCTTCTGGTCCCAAGCTGCTTGACATTTTTTCCCATTCTCCAAGTGATAATATTTTTGTAAAATTAATAAAATCCAATTTTTTTTCTTAGAGACAGAGTCTTACTCCATCACCCAGGCTAGTGTGCAATGGCACCATCATAGCTCACTGAAGCCTTGAACTCCCGGGCTCAAGTGATCCTCCACTTGATACTCAGCCTCCTGAGTATCTGGGACCACATGCATGAGCCACCAAATTTTTATACTGTGATAAAGTACACATAATATAAAATTTACCTTCTTAACCTTACCATCCTTTTTAACTAATTGATTGCTAGTTTAGTTTTAAATTTAGAGCAATGCTGTCCAGTAGAAACAACGGGAACCACAAATGTCATTTTATATATTGTGGTAACCACATTAAAAAAACAAAAAACAAAAAACAGGCCAGGAGTGGTGGCTCACCCCTGTAATCCCAGCACTTTGGGAGGCCAAGGTGGGTGGATCACCTGAGGTCGAGAGTTTGAGACCAGCCTGACCAGACCAATATGGTGAAACCACGTCTCTACTAAAAATGTAAAATTAGCTGGGTGTGGTGGCACATGCCTTTAATCCCAGCTACTCAGGAAGCTGAGGCAGAACTGCTTGAATCCAGGAGGTGGAGGTTGTGGTGAGCCGAGATTGCGCCATTGCACTACAGCCTGGGCAACAAGAGCAAAACTCTGTTTCTAAACAAAACAGGTGAAATTATTTTAAATATATTTTGTTTAGCCTAAAAGATCAAAGACACTGTTTCCATGTAAGCAATATAAAAAGTCCTGTTGAAATATTTTACATTATTTGAACTAGCCATATTTGAAGCATTTAATATCCACATGTGGCTAAAGGCTACTGTATTGGACAGCACGGATCTAGAGTGTCCTAATTGTTTTTTTCCCAAATTTTTATATTGTGATAAAGTACACATCTTAACCTTTTTTTTTTTTTTTTTTTTTNTTTTTGAGATAGTTTTGCTCTTGTTGCCCAGGATGGAGTGCAGTGGCACAATCTCGGCTCACCACAACCTCTGCCTCCTGGGTTCATGCGACTTTCCTGCCTCGGCCTCACGAGCAGCTGAGATTACAGGCATGTGGCACCACAAATGGCTAATTCTGTATTTTTAGCAGAGATGGGGTTTCTCCATGTTGGTCAGCTGGTCTCCAACTTCCGATCTCAGGTAATCCGCCCGCCTTGGCCTCCCAAAGTGCTATGATTACAGGTGTAAGCCACCACACCTGGCCCATCTTAACCATTTTGGGTATATAGTTCAGTAGTGTTAAGTACATTCATATTGTGCAACCATCACTACCACTAATCTGGTTTTTTAAAAGCTTATGATCTGGCCAGGAGTGGTGGTTCAAGCCTGTAATCTCACTGTTTTGGAAGGCTAAAACAGGTGGATCACTTGAGCCCGGGAGTTTTAGACCAGCCTGGGCAATGTGGTGAAACCCTGTCTCAACAAAAAGTACAAAAATTAGCCAGGTGTGGTAGTACACACCTGTAGTCCCATCTACTTAGAAGGCTGAAGTGGAAAGACTGCTTGATGCTAGGAGGGTAAGGCTGCAGTGAGCTGTGACTGTCCCACTGCACTCCAGCCTTGCGACAGAGTGAGACCTTGCCTAAAAAAAAAAAAAAAAGAAAAAAGAAAGGAAAGCTTACCACCTATCCCTTTAAAACAGTGGATTTGGTGGCAATAGAATCACCTGGGAAGTTTTACCAACTACTGATTTCTGGGTCCTGCTGGAGTTTCCAATTGAAGTAGTCTAGGGTACAACTGAGTACTGGCAGTTTTTAAAGCTCCCCAGGTGATTCTAGTGTGCAGCCTAGGTTGAAGATTATTACTCGAAAAGAAACAGAGCCAAAATAATTGAAAAATGATCAGAAGGAGGGTAAAAGGCACCACTACTATAATTACAAATTTTCCATATAGGTAGGTTGAGTAGTTCTAATTTTACTACGGTTCCCCCCCACATTTTCTTTTTTAAAGCATAAACCCCCTGAGAATTTGTAGATGTGAATCATTAGCTCTGATAACCAGCAGCCTTCCAGGTGGTGCAGGGCTGAGAACTAACCTAGAGCAAACTGGTAGGCCATACATGGTAAGGAACCAATATTGTGTTGCTCCTGCAAACATAAGAGAAAGGTTTCCTAACACACCAGTTTACATAGCCCAGGCAAAACAGGCCTACTTAGGGCTCTTCTTTTCATCTAGTAGAGTAGATGAACTAAACCACCTAAGCAATTCTGTAGCACCTACTGCACACATATTTTGTAGTTGTTGTTCATGGCCTGAAGTAGAATGTGTGGACTCTTAAATCCAAATATTTTATAAATCAGTCCAGGGAACTTAGTGCAAGGATAACATACCCAAAACAAATAGGTATAATACCAGCAACTGGGTTTCCAAGTCACATCTATAATAAAAACATACTTATTTTTTTAATGTTTTAAAATAAATTTGACTCCCCAAGTCCCATATGTGAACCAGAATGATTCATTCTTGTAGTAACAGCAAAGATACGACCTCACATTTATTTACAAAACAACGCTGCTACTCAAGTCTGCCCCATACCTGCTAGAATGGGTGCCTCATCACCCATTGGGTATCCTACCATGTCAACTGTGTGTGAGGAGTGATTTTAGCTCTACAACATTTTGCTCAGTGAACCCTGGGACTCATTAGGCTATTTGTGGATTAATGGTATTAGAAATACGTGCTATCTAGTCAAACATAAATACTTTTAGCTTTCATAGATCTACATTGTTGCATATATAGCAATACACATCAATATATCTCTCTATTCATCTACAGCATAGGTTTTGATCCAAACAGGTTTTTTTATTTTTTCATTTCTTCATAATTTTTTTTCTGATAACAATATATATTATAATATATATCTACTGCAGGAAACATAGCAAAGTATAAAAGAGAAAACATCAATTACTGATATTCCCAACACTCAAAGAAAACCACAATTCATATTTTGGTAAGTGTCCTTCCAGCCTTTAAAAAATACATTGACTATATGTCAACAGAGATTTGAGATTCTACTCAAAAACGAAGTGTCTACCCAGCCTTTGTTCATTTAACATTATGTCATAAGCATTTCTCCATGTCATTAAAATGATTTTAAAACATTTTGATGGCAATTTTCCTATTCTGGTGCATTTAGAATGTTTTCAATTTTAAAAAAACGACTTTAAGTAGTACTGACATAAATATCTCTGAATGTATATTTTTGTACACATTCTCAGAACTTAAATGTTAATTTGAAAATATGTGGTCCTAGGCACCATGTCCTGTTTTCTCTATTTCCCTGCTACCCTCCCCAGAAAATCAGCTGCTTTTATTAAGCCATCTGAGGTTGCTAATGAAATATTAGTTTTCTTTAAATGCTTATCAATGTGACAAATTTTTAAGAACTGGAAACCACAACTCCCTATACCTTTGATTATCCTGGGTCCCTGGATGAATTGTATTTTGTCCCGGGATGAATTGTATTTACGCAGATAATGATGTTTCATTTTCTTACCCTTGGAAGGATGCGGTTGTTTCAGTAATACAAGTAGCCTGGGAAAAATAGTTTTGGACTTAAGGTAAAAGTAGCACAAAGTTGCTGAGTGACTCACTTATCTAGCTTCTCATTAGCTTGCCGCCAATGTGTCTGCTCTTTCTTCCATCTCAAATTTTCATTTAGTCCTGGAAATCGGTCATTCCCTAGGAGTTAAGAAATGCATGATAGGAATTTGATTAGCATGAAACCCTCCAAGATAACCAGAAGTTCATAACAAGCTCAATGGAGAGGCCCCAGCACCATTTCTCAGGCTAATTAGAGTCCATGCTGGTTGTTGGCAGGAGACAAAGTTGCCATGCCTGCATCCAAGTTGGCTTGTTCTTTGATTGATAGACTAGAATATGAGAAGAACCTCTGCCTTTCTGAGTGTCAAAGAGACATTTCTCATGATCAGAGGGTTCCTGTGAAACTCTGGGGCTTACTGAATTATTGGGTAGGAAAGTATAGGTGTCAAATGAGGGTCCTGACCACCACTGAAACTATGAGCTCCCTCCAAGTTCTCTGTCATTGTGTCCTTTCAAATACAATAAGCTGTCACTCTGTTTCACTTTGAGCATGGTGAATAAGACGAAGGGTACCTGGACATTTCATTCTATTTGTGCTCAGCCTTTTTGAGATCATTCCTCCTGTGGTGGAATCCTTGAATGAATGGGACACTCTGAAACCATTTCAGGGAACTGGTTCCATTCTAATAGTGCCCTGAATGATCTAAGGAGATGACCTTGGGCCCAGAACTATTCAGTTTCTTGACCATGCTCCAGATAGACTTGTCAAATGTCACCTAGAAAGGCCTCAGTCTCGAGGGAAACACCTTCCACCTCATCCATGACTGATATTCTTAGAGGTGACCTTTTACCATCAACACATTTTAATTAAAAGATGTCATTTGGTGCTGTTTTCAGGGTTCCTATGACTGTAGGACAGCGCTTTCACTCAAAGCCACAGGGCTAACACAAATGTCACACACAGGATCCCAGAATCTGCTGTCTCCGACACTACTGTAAATAACTCAAGAAAGTAATGGTGTCTCATCATGTTGGGAGGACATTCCTCCCCCCAAACAGTGAAAAACTGTCTGACAGAAAGCAGGGCGGGGCCGGTTCAACACACCTGGAGCTCGGCGGCGTATCATCTCCCCTCTGGCCCCTTCCCCACGGAGCAAAGCCTCTTCCAGCCGGGCCTTGACATCCCTTGACTTCTGCAAGACTTGGGTACTGACTTTGTCAGAACTCTGTTTTCCCTGGACAAGACAGAGGCAGAAGAACATGTCCTTTGGTGAGATCTCTGTTGATGTGGAGAATTATCAAAATGGTACACTCCACAGTGATGCCAGCCAGTTTTGACACGTGCTACACAGAGATGCTGTTCTGGGGCAGCCTATGGCCAAAATTCTGTTAACAGGAATAGGGATCTCTCTACAGAAGGCAGAGATCCTTTCCCTGTGAAATGATCATATCTATACATACAAACGTGCTATGGATTTGAATACAGAAATGAGAAAAATTAATGACGCCTCCACGGCCCAAACAAAGAAGATGAGTAACAAGACAGAATTGCGCTTGAGATATAAGAGCTGGCGTAAAGTTGTGCCACTCCAGACCTACCTTGTATGCAAAACAGAAGACACAGATGAAAAGTATATCTAAAATTCTGTTGAGTTGCACTGATGGCAGGTCGGCAATCCACTTCCTAATGAGGCTCTGATCAGCATTTTTCATGATCCAGAGGAAGCAGATCATGAGGCTGCGGGTGGTGTCCGCGTTCAGCATGTTGTACTGCTTATAGGGCTGGAGGGAGGCAGATGGGAGATGGAGGCCAGGGAGGAAGTCAAACAACAGAAAAATCTGAGACTTAACAGGCAAGCACCAGAAAATTTCAATGTGTTATCTTAGAATACCATGACTGTACTTCATTGCAAGGCTGGAGATCTGCTTCCAGCAGCCCTGCCTTCCACAGCAGGGGAAGCGGTGTTTTTTGAGCAGGGCTACTCAGCAAAGAGGCTCGCCTGGGGCAGGATTTGGGCCAGGCTTTCAGCAACCTATCTGGGTACCTCTGTCTCAGGAACAGTGTGGCCTGGTGATCTGCCCTGGGCCTTGACCAGGCATGCTGCAATCCCAGTGATACAAAGGGGCTTTCATGTTGCTGAGATCTCCTAGTATTTCTCCTTCCTGCTGGACAGCAGAGGGTTAGACTTACAGGGGAGAAGGAAACTGGCTGGGTGCCATGAATAACCTTGCTGTTCAAGATTCAGCTTCTTTGTTACATAGTCCAAAGTACAACATAAGGGTCACGAACTGCTCAGCAAAGTAATCAAATCCATGTTTGTGGAGTTCTCTGTAATGGAAGTTTAACCACAATTTATGTTTGCTTGGGGCGGGGGTGTGGGGGTTCAGGCGATTGACTTTAATATTTTGGCCACAAGTATTCATTCTGAAGTGCTAAGCACACTCTCTGATACTCATCTCATTAACACAAACAACAGTAATGAGGCTGCACCCTTGGTTCATGCAGCATAGCTAATATCCTGTGGAATGTACTGGTAAAATTGCAATGAGGAATTTGTGGATATGGGAGGGAAATGTTAGTTTTGGACAGAAATCATAGAGGTTATAAAGTAACTGTAACTTCAGTTACTCTGAGTTTGTTGACAAGAACAAAGGAAATCTTGAGATATAACCTCACAAGGACTATGCTCTAACAGGTGAACTTTGGGCTTTTGAGTTTTTCCTTTACAGGCAAATAATGTAAAAGGCATATACCACCTCGACAGCTAACTTGGGTAAGATGGACATTAGAAAGGTGGAGGAGGTCATAAAACACAGTATTTCTCCAAATATGAGATCCGTGATGTAAAATCTCAATGTCTTTTCTCTGTCTCATCTTCCTGCCTTGCTGCCTCCCCAGTTCTCACGAAGATGGGGCTTGCTAAGCGCTGGAAGGAAGAGAAGACGGTCATCCAGCAAGAAGAGTTAGGTCAGGATGCTGCCTTCTCATGGGAGAAGCAAGTTAAGTTCTCTGCAGATCTATACCCTACATTGAAATGTAAAAGTAAATGATGCTGGGGGATGCAGTGCTGATTTCACAAGGGATAGTCAGAGCTCATCAAGGAAGAAAGATGAATTCCACCTCAACTGAATCAGAAGATGCCTTCCCAGAGGAGCCCCTCTTTAATTCCACAGAGTCCATGCAAAAGGACAGAGCCAAAGAACCCTCCTTAGGCTCCCTGGGGTCCTAGAAAAGCTGCAGTCTTTTGCTCAGGAAGCCCTTATGCTAAGCTACCAGCCTCCTTCAATCTTTTTTTTGGAGGCATAACACAGGATGAATTATATACACATAGATTGAACACAATGTAAGATTCCACCCTCAGGGAGCCTTGGTTTGATCTCCTTTGCAAGGATCTTACATTTCCCAAGTTTTCTTCTTTTCTGCTTTCTTGAACTTGATTGAACTCAGCACCACTGGGACTGCCTAAATTTGATCTGTACATCTCTTGCAGTTACCAGAACGCTGTCTGACTCATGTGCGCCTTAGGTGCCAGTCTCACAGTGATGCTTTCCAGCAACATGAGGTGGAAACCATCACTGCCTGCTCTAAGCTGAGTTTTCCCATTGGAAGATGACAGAAGAGACTGGGTATGGTGGCTCATGCCTGTAATTCCAGCACTTTGGGAGGCTGAGGCAGGTGGAACACCGGACATAAAGAGTTGGAGACCAACCTGGCCATCATGGTGAAACCCTGTCTCTACTAAAAAATACAAAAAAAAAAAAAATTAGCCAGGTGTGGTGGTGCACACCTGTAGTCCCAGCTAATCAGGAGGATGAACCTGGGAGGCGGAGCCTTCAGAGAGCTCAGACCAAGCCACTGCACTCCAGCCTGTGCAACAGAGTGAGACTCTGTCTCAAAAACAGAAAAAATGACAGAAGGCATGAAATGAAAAATAAATCAGACACATGTGCACCAACATACCAAGGAAGACAGCATCATTCCACTTGTTTTCAAATTGAAATGATTCCCTGCTATGGCCAGAGCCACGTTCTGGTTGATGGCACTGGGTCCTTCTTGTTCTTCATCTGAGCCACTGGTGCGACTTTTCCAATGACGCAGAGCTGCAATGGAATTAAAACATCATTTGTGATGTCAAGCCAAACATGACACTTCCCTATGTCCCCTACCCAATAAGAGACTGATACTTCTTAGTTACTAAAGTCAGCACAGTAATTTTAAACCTGATGTTTAGCATTATTTATCTGCTACCATCTATAGGAAAACACAGGCAGGCTAAGAAAAGAGACGATGTCTAGCACAAGATTAGGCCAAAATCAATTTTTCAAATTGTGTGAACAAAAAGTTTTCAAAACATCCGTAACAGTTTCCTGTAACATAATTTTTAAAACTTTATTCTCTATTCTAATAATTGACATTAAATAATGACCAAATAGAAGAAATCTACAATTGCAGAATTAAGCCCATACCCTATATAGAATAATAAGCTATTATCACAAGTTCAGCAATAACTTGTTATACTTCAAATGTTTAAAATGAATGTCAATTTATTATATCTACGTAACATAGACACAGTCATATTTATAGATGGGTCTAGATGTATGCAAGCACGGAAAAAGGATAAACCATTTAAAATTCTGGTTTTTAAGGATGCTACCGAGCATACACTCAAAACCTATTAATATTTCAAGCAGTTCTGGGGAAAGTGTGGTAAAACATTCAAAACTGATTGATTCTCTCCTGCTTTACTAAAAACTCATGTTTTACTAGACCTGTCAACATTACAACCATCTGGGCCTTCAATTCTTTAAAAAATTTTGAGTTTAAATAACATTTTTTCCACTAAAGTTGTGAAAACAAAACCCAGTTCTTATTTATGTATGTATTTATTTATTTATTTTGAGACAAAGTCTAACACTGTCATCCAGGGTGGAGTGCAGTGGCGCCATCTCTGCTCACTGCAATCTCCACCTTGATCCTCCTACCTAAGTCTCCCAAATAACTGGGATTACAGGTGTGCCACCACACCTGGCTAATTTTTGTATTTTTAGTGGTGATGAGACTTGCCATGTTGGCCAGGCTGATCCTGAACCCCTGGCCTCAAGTGATCTGCCCACCTTGCTCCCAAAGTGCTGGGATTACAGCGGTAAGCCACGACACCTAGCCAAAACTCAGTTTTTAGAGATAATTATTAAGGCCATTGGGGTTTTAAACAAATAGTTAAATAAACAGCACATGGAAATTACGTAAGACCTAATAATATTATCACAATTAACATAGAGATACATACTTATTTCCCCTTAATCATCATAGGGTTATAGTTGAAAGAAAAAGTGGGGAAGATGCAAACATGTGCTGTGCAAATGCTTTTATAGAAGTTCTCTAGTTTCATCTTTATCATTACCCTAAAAGGTAGGCGTTGTTATCACATTTTTACAGTTTACAGAGGAAAGGAAGGCACAGAGAAGTTGAGCCTTTCAATGGTCACATATTCATAAAGGGGGCAGGAATCTGAATTCAGATGCATCTATTTGAAAGATTATATTCTTACGAGTTTATCAACCTAAAGATTCTATATATAATAAATGTGCTATGTAAGCTATAATAATAAAATACTTTTCACAATTTTCTCTTGTAAGCTACATCATGACCATAAAGTTCAATGCGTATACAAAGAAGTCTCTGAGGTTTAAAAGGCTCGGAGACCAAATGTTGAAAAGTTCTGATTCCGAGTCACTGATATGGAATATTCTAATCGACAAGAAAACGTTGGAGAATGTGTGCTAAAGTGCTTCCTGGCTTTGGGAACAAGGGGGCTCTAGAAATGGAACTTTTTAGAAACTTTCCAGCAAGGATTCTCAACATGGGCTGCAAGTCACATGCCGTGCTCTGCATTACATCTCTAAATGTTAAAAACAACTGTTTTCAGTTCCCCACAATCAGGCGCTACTGGAGGAAGCTGCTGACCTCATGGTGTAGCTTGCTCAGCCCCGTGTGCTGAGCTTGATTCTGTCATTTCCTTGCACTCCAGCCCCAACAGAACTCTACAAACCCTAGCCCATGCCTCAACCTTTCTCTTCCAAGTTACCCCTTTAGCAGTTTGCTGGAGGATTTTTTTCAAGAAAGGAGAGAATTACTTCCATAGGAATACTTGCTTTTCATTTTATGATTTTATGATTAAAGGCTATGGGTGTTTGGTCCCATTTTCATGAACTAAATACTTGTCACCGTAATGATATTATAAATAATTTAGTCACACACGACACTTCCCATGTGGAGGAGGTGGGAAAACCTGGACGGTTCCAAGATTTCAAGGAAAAGCAAGAACTACTCTGATGGCATCAGAATTTTGTGTGTGTGCATGTGCACGTGCATGCACACACATGTATGTTGTAGAGAGGGTAGGTTGATGGACTGCCTTTCTTAGGTCAATATAAGAAGTTCTTCTATTTGGGAGGGTTTTTTCCCCCTCTACATTCCCTAATCCACACTGTAATTTGTAAATAGACTCAGGGGTTTCCCAAAACCCCTTTAAGAAAACTTATCCTTTCCTCTTGTTGCTAATCTAGAGATATTAACCTCAAAATTAGCCACTTAGTGCCAAAGGCAAAATTTCTCTGCTATGCTAGAATTTTCTAATATGGACATATGCCATGATTTTTTTCTTCCATGGAAGAATTATTTGGATTCATTTGAGATTACTTTTTTGCTTACCTATTCATAAAAGAAAAGGGAAGGAACACCTTTATTTCAAGGTGTTAGAGCATAATCTCCAAAGGGAGTAATTCTGTGATTATTTCATCCTCTGTGGTGTATGGTTTATAAAGTTCACCCCACACTAGCAGATCAATGAATAAATAAATAAATGAACAAATAAGTAAATAATTTCTAAACAAAAAACACATGGGGTTATGCGTCTTTTTTTTTTTTTTTTTAACTGATTGGGGCCTGAGTTAAAGAGGTTTGGAGACCACTGTTGTGAAGAATTGCTCATATGAACATTTCAACACTGGAACGAATGACAGAGACCTCATTCAGATGGGGCATTTGACAGGGGCCCCCATCAATCCAAGAAAGAAAACAGAAGGGCCATTACCTGCAAAGTCAGAGAGCTGTGGCAAAGCATCCAAAATGATGCCAACTAAAGGCAGGTACAGGGCAGCGATTTTGACCTTCACCTCTGGTTTGACACAGCGTGGGTCCAGATCGTGAGAACTTAGCAGGCTGTGGATGGCACTGACAGCTTTCCTTTGCACTCTGCTGATTCTGTTGGCACAACACAGGAATCAAGAGGTTATGGTGAAGGGAAATTGACTAAAGTGCTCTTCAACAGTCAAGAGTGATCCACATGCTCCTAAGCAATGAGGTTACTGTGAAAACCAAGCAGTAGAAGATAGAACTACATAGAATCCAGAAATATCCCTAGGTGTATTGTTTAATATGATGTTTTCAGGTTCTTCATATTGTAGCTCAGTACTTCACTCCTTTGTATTGCTAAGTAAGATTCCATCTAATTTCATTTATCCATTCATCAATTGATAAACATTTGGATTGTTTCTACTTTTGAGCTATTATGAGTTATGAATGCTATGAATATTTGTGTACAAATTTTACTTTCCTTGGGTACATACTTCAGAGTACATTTGCTGGATTGAATAGTAACTCTCTGTTTAACTTTTTTGTTTGTTTGTTTTGAGATGGAGTCGCCCAGGCTGGAGTGCAGTGGCACGGTCTTGGCTTACTGCAACCTCCACCTCCAGGGTTCAAGCAATTCTTCTGCCTTAAACTCCTGAGTAGCTGGGACTACAGGTGCCCACCAGCATGCCTGGCTAATTTTTGTATTTTTATTAGTGACAGGGTTTCACCATGTTGGGCAGGCTGGTCTTGAACTCCTTGTCTCAAATGATCTGCCTGCCTCAGCCTCCCCAAGTGCTGAGATTATAGGTATGAGCCACTGCGCACCCAGCCTCTATTTAACTTTTAGAGGGATCAGCAAATTGTTTTCAATGGTGGCCACACAATTTTACATTCCCACTAGCAGTGTCTGAAGGCTCCATTTTATTCTTGCCAATACTTTATTATCTGTCTTTTTTATTATATCCATCTTTGTGGGTATCAAGTGGTATTTAATTGTGATTTTGTTATGCATTTCCCTGATGGCTAATGATGCTGAACATCTTCTCATGGTCTTATGGCCCTATCTTCTCTGGAGAAATGTCTATTCTTAAATCTTTTGCCTTTTAAAAAATTGAGTTGTCTTTATTATTGAGTTGTAAGATTTTAAAATATATATTCCAAATACAAGTTCCCTATTAGGTTTTTGATTTGCAAATATTTTCTCCCATTCTGTGGGTTGTCTTTTCATTTTTTTGGATGGTGTTCTATAAATCACAAAAGTTTTAATTTTACTGAAGTCCAGTTTTCTGTTTCGTTCTTGTTACCTACACTTTTGAGTGTGCCATATCTAAGAAACCATTGCCTTTTCTAAGTTTATGATGATTACCTCTATAATTTTATGTAATAATTTTATAGTTTTAGCTCTTACATTTAGATCTTTGATCTATCTGAGTTAATTTTTATATATGATGTAATATAGGGTCCAACTTCATTCTTTTGAATGTGGATATCCAGTTGCCCCAGTGCCATTTATTGAAAACACTATTTTCCCCCATTGATTGTTTTGGCACTCTTGACAAAAATCAATTGACTATAAATATGAAGATTTATTTCCAGACTTTTAATTCAATTTTATTGAGCTATATGTCTATCATATGTCAGAACCCAATTGTCTGGACTACTTTTGGTTTATAGTAAATTTTGAAATTGGGAAGTGTGAGTCCTCCAATTTTGTTCTTGTTTTTCAAGGTTGTTTTGGCTATATTGGGTTCCTTGAATTTCCACACAAATTTTAGGATTGGTTTGCTAATTTCTGCCAAAAAAAAAAAAAAGTAAGCTAGAATTTTGACAACTACATTGAATCTATGGATCAATTTGGGAAGTGTTGTTATTTTAATATTAAGTCTTCCGATCCATGAACATATGATATCCCTTCATTTATTTAGATCTTTATTTCCTTCAACAGTGTTTTGTCGTTTTTAGTGTATAAGTCTTGTATTTGTTACACTTATTCCTAAGCATTTTTTCTTTTTGATGCTATTTTATATAAAATTGTTGCCTTAATTTCACTTTCAGATCGCTCATCATAAGTGTATAGAACACAATTGATTCTTGTATGTTGATCTTGTACCCTGCAACCCTGATGGACTCATTTGTTAGTTCTAATAGATTTTTTTTTTTGTGGATTCCTTGTAATTTTCTATAAACAAGATTAAGCCACCTATGAATAGAGACAATTTTACTTCTTTTCCAATTTAAATGCTTTTTTTTTTTTTTTTTTTTGATACAGGGTCTTACTCTGTCGTCCAGGCTGGAGTGCAGTGGTGCAATTTCGGCTCAGTACAACCTCTGCTTTCTGGGACCAAGCGATTCTCAATCCTCAGCCTCCCAAGTAGCTGGGACTACAGGAACGAACCACTAATGCCCAGCTAATTTTTGTATTTTTTTGTAGAGATGGGGTCTGCCATCTTGCTCAGGCTGGTCTCAAACTCCTGAGCTCAAAGCAATCTGTCCACCTTAGCCTCCCAAAATGGTGGGATTTCAGGCTAAGCCACCTCGCCCAGCCTAGATGCCTTTTATTTTCTTGCCTAATTGCGCTAGATAGAACTCCTAGTACATATTGAATAGAAGTGGCAAGAGTAGACAGTTTTATCTTTTTCCTAATCTTAGTGAGAAAGCCCTTAGTTTTTCAATAATAAGTGTCACACTAGTTGTGGATTTTTTATAGAGGCCCTTAAGTCAAGTTGAGGAAGTTCTCTTTCCTAAAAGGTTTACTATCAGGAAGGGTTATTAGGTTTTATTAAATGCTTTTCTTTGCATCTACTGAGATGACTGCATGGGTTTTGTCCTTTATTTTATTAATATGGCGCATCAATTGATTTTCAGATATGAAGCCTATCTTGCATTCCTAAGATAAATCCTACTTAGCCACGGTGTACAATCTTTTTTATATGTTGTTGGATTCAGTTTGCTAGTTTTTGTTGAGGGTATTACATCTATATTCATCAGATACTGGTCTATTCCTTGGAATAGAAGACTAGAAGTTGATACAAAATTAGAATTAATTCTTTAAAAAATAATTGGTAGAATTCGTTAGTAAAGCCCCCCAGGTTTGGGCTTTTATTGTGGTAAGTTTTTTAAAAATTTTATATGTATATATATATATATATATTTTTAATTTTATTTATTTATTTATTTTTTGCAATGGAGTTCCACTCTTCTTGCCCAGGCTGAAGTGCATTGGCATGATCTCGGCTCACTGCAACCTCTGCCTTCCAGTTTCAAATGATTCTCCTGCCTCAGACTCCTCGGTATCTGGGATTACAGGTGCCTGCCACCACACCCAGCTAATTTTTGTATTTTTAGTAGAGACAGGGTTTTATCATGTTGGCCAGGCTGGTCTCAAACTCCTGACCTCAGGTGATCCACCCGCCTCAGCCTCCCAAAGTGCTGGGGTTACCTGTGTGAGCCATTGCACCCAGCCTAAATTTTTAATTTGTGTGGGTACATAGTAGGTATATGTGGGAAGTCTGATTGCTAACTCGATCTCTTTACTTGTTGTAGGTCTACTGGATTTTCTACTTCTTGGAGTCAATTTCAGTGCTTTGTATCTTTTAAGGAATTTATCCATTTAATCTAGGTTATCAATTTGATGGCTTTCAATTGTTCATAGTTTTTTTTTTTTTTTTTTTTTTTTTT